AATTGTATCACAGGCAGAGGGGAGGGTTTTGTGTGGGAGTGTCTGAGTGTATTGTACATGTTTATTGGTTGTTTTCCAAAACCTTGTGGGTGGTAGTAATGTGTATATAAGAACAATAAACCCACAGCTCTGTCTGTTCACTGCTTGACCCTCAACACAGAGCTTTGTCTCGTTCTTGGGGGGATTTATTGTATGCTGCTCCAGTTCGACTGCTAGGAGTGTAAACCTATTTGGATGGTTTTTCCTATTCGGCTGTTTACGGCATTCATATGGTTTCCTGTTCGGCGGATTGGTGTTCTGCAGTAGCTGTGCCTGTGTCTCTGGAAGGGGAAGATCTACTAAATGGCGGTTTAACCCTTTTATGCTGAGGGTGCCGTTACACTGATATATCCAAGATTTATTTGGAGAAGAGAAGTATTATTTTTTCCAGTACCCTACCTTTTATCTATTTTCTCCAGGATAATACCCATGTCTGTGGAACCATCTAAAATATTCAGTATTGCAGTTTATATTTAAATCTTTAGTCTCACTTCATCCAACAGTCTTAACCAAACCTGTGAGGTTTGTAAAGGGACAGACAATGACACACCACTCTCAAGGAATAAATAAATTTAAAAAAAAACCTCTCAACGAACGATAAAGTAAAAATACTAATTATGTATCTTTGGTGTCCACTCACATAGGTTTAACCCCTTCCCGACCCAGGACGGTTCAGGACCGTCATCTGCATTTTTGCGTTGCCGACCGATGACGGTCCTGAACCGTCCTAACGGTCCTAGTTACTTACCTGATCGCCGTCGTTCCCCCGGCAGCGATCAGCGTGGCTCCGGTTGTGGGGAGACTGCCTGCAGCCCAGACAGTCTCCCCACACTGATTTAGGACCCCTGTGGCCATGTGATCGCTTAACACAGCAATCACATGGTCACAATAGGTGTCCATAGTGCTGCCTGCAGGGGGACTGTCTGTGCTGACAGGCAGTCTCCCTGCTAATGTAAAATCAAAAATAAAAATAAAGTTAATGTTAATAAAAAATAAATAAATAATTATATATGTGTATATATGATATATAGACATATATTATATCTATATAATATATGTCTATATCATATATATAATGTCATACTAAGTGTATTTTTATATTAATATGTACTTATATTAATATAAAAATACACTTATAATTAAATTACACACGTATATATATAATATATATAATAACTATATATATTGTATATATATATTATTATAAAATATAAATCATAAGTAATTTAAATTAAATAAAAATTTTTTTAAATAATAATAAAAAAATTTAAAAAAATTATATAGCTATATGAAATTTTATTCTAACTGTATTTTAAAATTAATATATATATATTTATATCAAAATACACTTAGAATGAATTTGTATATATATCTATGTATATAAAAATAAATAAAAATAATAAGAAATATACATATGTCCATATAAAAAATTACATAAATAATTATATAAATATACACGTAGACTTCAAATATATAAATATGCATATATATTTAAATTCTACGTGCGTATTTATGTAATATTTTTACATAATTCAGTAATTTTATTGATTTGAGGGACCTGCCTGCCAACCCAGGCCGAAATTCCAGAGAATTTAATTTGCTAGCACTGTATTTTACCCTGTAACGTTCTACGACACCCTAAAACCTGTACATGGGGGGTACTGTTTTACTCGGGAGACTTCGCTGAACACAAATATTAGTGATTCAAAACAGTAAAACATATCACAGCGATGATATTGTCAGTGAAAGTTACTTTATTTGCATTTTTCACACACAAACAGCACTTTTACTGATGATATAATTGTTGTGATACGTTTTCCAGTTTTTAAACACTAATATTTGTGTTCAGCGATGTCTCCCGAGTAAAACAGTACCCCCCATGTACAGGTTTTATAGCATTTTTGAAAGTTACAAGGTCAAATATATGGGTCAAATATTTTTACATTGAAAATGGCCAGGTTGGTTACGTTGCCTTTGAGAGCGTATGGTAGCCCAGGAATGAGAATTACCCCATGATGGCATACCATTTGCAAAAGAAGACAACCCAAGGTATTGCAAATGGGGTATGTCCAGTCTTTTTTAGTAACCACTTGGTCACAAACACTGGCCAAAATTAGCGTTCAATTTAGTTTTTTTACTTTTTTCACACACAAACAAATATGAATGCTTACTTTGGCCAGTGGCTACTAAAAAAGACTGGACATACCCCATATTGAATACCCTGGGTTGTCTACTTTAAAAAAAATATGTACATGTGGGGTGTTATTCAGAGATTTATGACAGATAATAGTGTTACAATGTCACTATTGATAAATTTTAAAATGTATGTTTTGAAACCGCAATATCCTACTTGTACCTATAGCCCTATAACATGCAAAAAAAAGCAAAAAAGCACGTAAACACTAGGTATTTTTAAACTCAGGGCAAAATTTTGAATCTATTTAGCAGTTTTTTTCATTCGCTTTTGTAGATGAGTAAAAGATTTTTCAAGTAAAAGTCAAAAAACATGTATTTTTTCAATTTTTCATCATATTTTTTTATTTTTTTTAAATTAAAATACATGAGATTATATAAATAATGGTATGTAAAGAAAGCCCCTTTTGTCCTGAAAAAAACAATATATAATTTGTATGGGAACAGTAAATGAGAAAGCGAAAAATTACAGCCAAACACAAACACCACAAAAGTGTAAAAATATGCCTGGTCGCAAATGTACAACATCGCAAAAACAGTCCAGTCCTTAAGGGGTTAACTGGAGTTTGTCCTGCTGTAGACATAAATCCAACTTTGCTCTAAAAGTCACAGATCTTAGTTTGTATGCTCCTGGTGTGAAGATCTGAAGAACCATACCTAAATTTAAAAATAAAGACATTTTATAAAGTCAGTCACTGTGTTTGCCTCATTATACCCCAAGTATTAAAGGATTACTGAGTACCCCATAACGAGTTCTTAATACTGGACACCAACTTCCCCGAAGGAGGTGATGGGCACTGGCGAAGTGTTAGCTCAGCCAATCAATGGCTTCCCATTGAGAGACATACTTTAAAATGGTACATATATTTTATTAATTTCTTTATAGTACATATGTTTAATTTATTTATGGTACATATCTTTTATTTATGGTACATTCATATATTGGCTTCCAGTTAGATATAGGGCTCAATTTAAGATTATGGTGCTTGCTTACAAGTCCCTACAAAATGCTGCTCCAACCTACCTATCCTCCCTAATATACAGATCTGACCCGTCGAGGCCCGTGCGCTCTGCCGAAGACCTACGCCTATCCTCTGTCCGTACTCCCACATCTGATGCTCACCTACAAGACGTCTCCAGGGCTGCACCTTTTCTGTGGATCTCCCTTCCCTTCTCTGTTAGACTTTTACCCAGTCTCCACTCCTTAAAAAATCTCTGAAAACACACTTCTTCAGGAAAACATATCATCTAAGCTGTTAACGGGTTTTGATCCCCCCTATGACCTCTCTCCTGCAACTGACAAAAATAACCTACTAAGTTCCCAGTGAATAGTTTTCTAGCAACCTATTTCATTATCCCTACTTATACCCTTTGTGTCACTATACCCCACTCCCTCTAGCATGTAAGCTCATTGAGCAGGGCCCTCAACCCCTCTGTTCCTGTGTGTCCAACTTGTCTAGTTACAATTACGTGTCTGTTAGTCCACCCATTGTACAGCGCTATGGAATTTGTTGTCGCTATATAAATAATAAAATAATAATATTCATTAATTTCTTTATGTTAATGCAGTAAAATACTATTGTTTATTCTTTCACTAATATTTTTTTGATGATAGATAAAAAGTAAGCAAAATACTTTTCCTGTTATCTTTAATCAGCTGCACAAATATTTAGTTATATTTGTTACACATTAAATGCAATGTAACCCCTTTTATCTGGATATGCAGAATTGATTTTTTTGTAATGTAATGCTGATGTATTAGGACAAAGCTTAAGGACATCAAACAGTATCGACCTGTCATGATATTAACATTGGTTATTTAATTGATGTATTTGCAGTACATAATTAGTTATTTAATTGATGTATTTGCAGTATGTAAATTAATCAATTTAAAAGTGCATTATATGTACAGGATTATTCATTAAAATGCAAAATGACAGTTTATCCATTCAAAGTGGTAAGGCTAAGCAAAATTGAGGGAATGTGATTGCAACATTTTCACCTACCAAGAACACAGAATTGGGGGATTTTAACTTTTTTTTTTTTTTTAAATCAGTGATGAATCTCTGCATATGCGGACTGAGATTGGATGAAAAGCAGCAACAGATCCTTGTTTTTGTTTTTAATTTATGTTCACCAGCTTCAACCTATTGGCAGGTAAAGGACTACTATAGGCACCCAGACCACTTCAGCTCAATAAGGTGGTCTGGGTGCCAGACCACCTTATTGTGCCAGACCACCTAGCTTTAACCCTGCAGCTAAAAACAGCAGTTTCAGATAAACTACTATGTTTACACTGCAGGGTTAATCCAGCCTCTAGTGGCTGTCTCCCTAATTCAGCCACTAGAGGCCGCTTCCGCGATTCTCACTGTGAGAAGTAATGCTTTCCTATGGGCATTTTTTTTTCAATGTTTTATTTTTATTGAGTTTTAGCATGAGAAAAAGAACAGTGGGGTACAGAAAGGAAACAGGGGTGAGGGTGAATGGTTACACTTTTTTATAACACATAATTACATACATTGGGTTTTGGTCATTTTATACATGTTATGTAGTTCACGTAGTATGCTGTACATTATTGTTCAGACATTCTAACAGTGTTATCTTTTTTGGTGGTGCTGTTGTTAACTTTCAGATTAACCTCTTGAGTTATGGATGAATACGTGGTACATTTGTCTAGTGTGTTAATTTGTATATGGGAACCGTGCTCCTGTTTGTAACATGGGGAGGGTAGTAGGGGTTTAGGAGGTGGGGGGAAACAAAGGGGTATTTTAACTTGTTGCTTAAGATGTACTCTTAACAAAGTAACTTAGGAAACAAGATATGTGAGTGAGATATTTAACTGGGTAAGGGTGTGTGTCCCTTGATGGTTATGGCCTCTTAAACAATGCTTGTGCCTGGTGGAGCAGCCTCTACTAGATAGTACTTTTGAGGTTTTTCACCACTGTATAGACTGTATGCCAACTTGCCCAGTTATTGGTATATGTTTCTGTTTGGCCCTTCAACTTGTACGCCATACGTTTATAATCAACTATGTTTTCAATTCTATTCCAGACCTCTAGTGGAGATGGGGTGTGTTTCTTTTTCCAATGGCTAGCTATGCTAGTTTTTGCTTCCGTTAATAGGTGTATGAGAACGTGGTTAATTTTGTCCGACAACAGTTCTGGGGACAAATGTAGCAGATAGCATTCTGGTGTGTATGGGATGGTACGGTTTGTTATCAACTCAAGAGCTTTCCCTATCGTTAGCCAGAACCCTCTTAGTAGGGGGCAATCCCAGAAAATATGCCTCATGTTGCCCCTGTGGAGATCACATCTCCAGCAGGTATGTGAGACTGATGTGTACATACTTGCCAATCTGGTCAGCACTAAATACCACCTCATAATCATCTTACAGTATGCCTCCCACTGTGACAGGCTATGAAATACCTTTTTAGTTGTTTGTATTGCTTGTAACCATATTGGGATAGGGATGTTAATATTAAGTTCTGATTACCACATTTCCATATATTTGTGTTTGTGTAGCGGATCTTTGTCATTTATAGCTGAATAGCACAAGGACAAAGGTTTTGCTTGCGGACGTTTCCCTATCCAGTGTAGTCTAAAGCTTGTCAACTGTGATTCCTCACAATGATGGGTTTGTAGAGTATGGAGAATATGTTTAATTCTAATATATGTGAACACGTCTTTGGAGGGGAGTGCAAACTCCTTCTGAAGAGTTGGGAATGGTTTTAGGCCTTCCTCTGTATACAGCTGTGATGTTGATAGTATACCTTTTTGTCGCCATGGTGTCAGATTGATATTATCAGAAAGCTCCGTGACTGTTTGTATGGGGGCAAAATATAAAATGTTGTTTGTACCTATGAGTGAACCAGACCATTGCCTCCAGCTTTTTATTAAGAATCTCGTGCTGTTCAATGGACAAGTTTTGTTTGTGTCCCATTTCGTAAATGATTGTATGGTAGATTTTATTGTGTGGGGGTGGATGCAAGCATTTTCTAGAGATGCCCATAGTGGATTAGTGGTGCGGGATAGTATCTCCAGCCCCTGAGCTAAGACTGCTGCCCTGTAATATGCTCTAATGTTTGGGATGCCCAGTCTGCCTTTAGCTGGGGATAGCCACGTTAGACGTCTAGCTATTCTTGGTGGTTTATTTTTCCAAATGTGTGCGTTGAATATGTTTTGGAATCTATGCAGTAGTTTGTCACTTAACGCTATGGGTATGGTGCAAAATAAATATAAGACATGGGGCAGTGCCATCATTTTAACGGTGTTCACTCTACCACGCCATGATATTTCCAAATCTTGCCATTTATCTAATTGTGCCTGTAATTTGTGGGTCATCGGGATGTGGTTTTCTCGGGTCAGTTGAGGGGTCGACTTGTTCAGATTTATTCCCAAGTACTTTAGGGAGACTTTACTCCAATCAAAGAGGTGATGTAATTTGAGTGTCTGCAATGTGTGGGCAGGAATGCTGATAGGCAGTGCTTGTGTCTTTTTAAGGTTGTTCTTGTAGTATGAGACTTGTCCATATAGTAGGAGTAGATTCATCAGGTTCAGGATGGAATTTACTTGGTTTGAGATGAATACGAGCACATCGTCTGCAAAGAGAGCTAGTTTGTGGATCCCGGCTGGGGTGCACAGGCCCTCTATCCCTGGATTGTGTTTAATGTGGTGTATAAGCGGTTCTAAGCAGAGGATAAATAGCAGTGGCGACAGTGGGCATCCCTGGCACGTACCATTACTAATATGGAATTTGTCTGATAGGAAACCAGAGTTGAAGACTTGCTGAGGGAGACTGGTACAGAGCCTTAATTCCCCTCAAGGTATGATGTGTAAATCCCATTTTGAGCAGTGTAGCCTCCATATATGTCCAGCTCAGGCGATCAAACGCCTTCTTGGCATCTAGCGCAAGAACTACACCTGTTTGATTGCTGGTTTTGGCCCAATTGATTAAATTGATAAAGTGTCTAGTGTTGTCCCCTGCTTGTCTGCCGGGGACAAATCCCGCCTGTTCACCAGACACCAAACCAGTGAGGTGGTAGTAATAGTTAGAAAGCCTGTCTGGGCCAGGCGCCTTATGTTTAGGCAGGGATGGAATGACTTTATGAATTTCATCTTCTGTGAATGGGTCATCTAATTATTAGCACGCTTGTCGTGAGAGTTTAGGCAGAGAACTATCTTTCAAAAAGGCTTCAATGTCTTTAATATTGGGGTGTGGTATTGTGGAGTCGTTTTTCAGATTATATAGCTTATCGTAGTAGTGTGCTAATTCATTGACAATGTCTAAGAGGTTGTATAATCTACCTTTCGTGGGAGATTCAATGTAGGGAATTTTGGTTTGTAGTTGTCTGGTTTTCAATCTGTTGGCCAGTGCTTTGCCCACTTTGTTCCCTTGTGTGTAATACCTGATTTTGAGGGATCTCATCCATCTTTCGGTGGTTAAGAGTTCCAGGGCGTGTAACTCCCTCTGTATGTCAATGATTTGTGATGTCAGTGTTTTTGATGGGTTGGATTTGTTTTGTGTTTCAAGGGATATAAATTTTTGCTGTAAGAGCTTGTGGTTATCGTTTGTACTTTTTTTATGTTTGGATCCTTCTCTTATGATTATGCCTTGCAGAACCGACTTGTGTGCGAACCATATAGTTTGAATCAGGATGGAGTCTGATGCATTAAGGGTGAAATATTCGGACGCTTTTCTAGATATGATGTCTAGCACCTGTGAGTCGTCTAATAGGCTCTCGTTAAGTCTTCATTTGCCTCTGCCCCTTGCTTGGTGGAGGGACCTGAAGGTAATTGTCAGCGGAGCGTGGTCTGACCACGTCCTCTGCCCTATCTGTACCTCATCCATGTTAACTATTCTTGAGTTTGTTCTATGTATCTGTGAGAAGTAGGTGTAATCTTTCTCTTTCGGGTACATAGACCTCTAGGTGTCATAGAGGTTGTTGTTAAACAACAATTTGCTTAATTCGATGCTGTTTGCGCTTGCGCTTGTGGTAGGGGGCTTGTTGTGTTCCAGTTTAATGTCGAGTTCAGGGTGCAATTGAAATCCCCACAAACAATTGTGTGGCCCTGTCTTATTTTATCTATTTGTTTCAGGATTTTGCAAATTAACGCAATTTGGGCCTCATTAAGGGCATATAGTGAGACCAGTGTAATCATCATAACGTTTAGGTTCCCTACCAGGATCAACAGTCTACCTTCCTTGTCTGTGTATATTCCAGTTTCCTAGAAAACACAATCTTTGTGAAAAAGAATGGCGACTCCTCTTGATTTATGAGGTGAGTAGGCATGGAATGCTTGGGAGTAAAGGTTGGAGTATATTTGGGGGGGTTTGCAGGTGCAAAAATGCTTCTCCTGGAGACATATAGCTGCCGCTTTTGATTTGTGCATATCTTGAGTGAGAAGGCGTCTCTTGTGTGGGCTATTCAGACCCTTCACATTGAGGGAGTAAATTTTAAACGTTGCTAATGCCATTGTGGTGTATGAGTGTATAATTGCTTTAGTAATTCGTACCAGTGAGCCTGGTTATGTAGACCCGGGGGTTTGTGGACTTTTTTAGCATGGTGGCTATGGTTGGGTGAAGGCTTACCATACCATTGCTCACTATATCCGTTTAGTGGCTGTACCTCAGATTGGTGGGTGGAAGTGTTGCTCGGGTATTGAATGTGAGGATCACCAAAACACAAAGAAACTTTTTGATTTGGATGATGTTACCACCATCCAAATCTAAAGTACTTAAAGTGAGTGCAGCGCTATATAAGTGCTTAGGTAAGTGTATAGTGAACACACTTACCTAAGCACTTATATAGTGCTGCACTCACTTTAAGTACTTTAGATTTGGATGGTGGTAACATCATCCAAATCAAAAAGTTTCTTTGTGTTTTGGTGATTGTCTATGTGTGGTGGGTAATTAGGAGTACCCACAGAGTGTATACAGCAGCTGTACTAGATTTCTTTCTATTTATAACACAGAGCGCCATTTATTCCACATTTTTTGTGTATATTCAATTTATTGAATGTGAGGAGTCTTAATTTGAGCCCGTGTGGTGTGTGGATTTTGTGTTTGGGACATCATGTGGTACATAACATCAAGGAACATCATTAAGCATGTTAACACATATTTCATAACAAGAATCAAACTAAAAATTAAATTAAAAGGGGAAAAACTTAGGTACTCCTCCATAGTGCGCAGGGATATAGTTTGCCACATGGGAGATTGCCATCTCTCAAATTTGGGCAAGGGGGGGTTGAGAGTCTCCACCGAAATTAAGCCTTTATTGGGAAATTAAATCGGTGAGCCATCCTGTTCTAGGGGATTTAAGCTTCTCAATACAAGTATGGTTCCAGGATTGCTTCTGTTTTGCCTTTGTGCCATATTAATAATTTAGTCGGATATCCCCATCTATACGGTATTTGGTGATTGCGTAGAGTCTTACTGATGTTGATAAATTCCCTTCTTCTCGCCATGGTGGCTGCTGATAAGTCGGCATAGATACTGACTCCCTGGTACGGCTCTGGGAGCTGTTCCATCTTCCTCGTTGCGGTCAGGATTGCTTCCTTTGATTTGTAATAGTGGAAGCGTGCGATGACATCTTTCGGCGTATCCGCCATGAATCTGGCCGGTCTAGGGAGTCTGTGTACTCTGTCCAGTGTCCAGGCCGCAGCCTCGAGCTGTGGTGCCAGAATGGAACATAGGGCTTGAGGTACTGTGGGAGGACCTCTGTGGAGATAGTGTCAGCTATCCCCCGGAATCGGAGGTTGTTCCTGCAGGATCTGTCCTCCATGTCTGCCACTTTCAGTCTCAGGGCTGATTGTTCTTCTTCTAACTTTTGTAGCTGGTCCACTACCTCGTTGTGAACTGAGCAGATTTCCTCCGTTCTGGTTTCCTCCGTTCTGGTTTTCCCTAGCTCTTGGATATCTCTGCGGATTTCTTATTTGCTTAAAGTCTGACCTGAGAGATTGTTTCAGGTCTTGCAGCATGTTGTGAAGGCTGTGGTTGGTGACCAGAGATTCTCCGTGGGGGATTTGCTCTATTTCCTCGGCTACCAGATTTCCTGTATCCAGAGAGTCTGAGCTAGTTGCGTCGCCATCTTGTTTTTGCCGCAGGCGATCTTTTTTGGTGGTCCGGATCCGTTATTTTAAGCTGTTTGGATGGTACCATTGGGGATGTAGTGGCTCCCAGAATAATCACTATTTATGCGTTGTCGGCTCGATCTTTGTAGCTGTAGGCTCGGTGGATTGCGGAGCTCTCTTTCTGTGCGACTACTCCATGCGGTCGCAGGCCACGCCCCCCATGGGCGTTTTTAATGCGCGTGTGGCTCTGGCCGCTCATGCACATTCGGCCCAACTCGGGAGCCAACTTCGGAGGGATAGGAGATGTCACCAGCGCCGAGGGAGACCGGCGCTCGATAAAGGTAAGTGGCTGAAGGGGTTTTAACCTAATGACCCTATAGTGCCAGGAAAATGAGTTTGTTTTCCTGGCACTATAGTGGTCCTTTAAGTACCATTGGTTGGTGCACATAGTTGGGGCCCATTATAATTATGAACCACAATGGAGCTTGGGTTATATTGAAATCTTCCACAGGTCAGTAAAACTGGAGATCAAGGTCTTTTGATTGTGTAAGCAGTTTAAAATTTTAGGTTTAAAGTTTTAAGTTTACCACTCAACAGTCTGCAATCCAATTGGTTCAGGAAGGGGAGCGCCTGCTCTTTTAACAATTGCTAGGATTCCTACCCTATTTAAAGCAAACTCTGCTGCAAACAGCCCTGTATCTTGGACTGGTTACAGATGTCTGCTGGAATGCTTTTCCAGGATGCTCCAGCACTCCTCTGAACATTAGATCAAACAGGCCTTAATCCCCTGCTTAGTTGGTATCTTTCACTTCTTGCATCCAGCTCTGAACTCCCCTGTAACTCAAATGAAGTCTTGAATATATTCAGCCATGTGCTCAAAAGCTCGCCATCTACTGGCCACTACACAAAATTGCAAGGCAGAGAGCAATGCATGCAAGGGGCCAGTCATGATGCTCCCTGCCCTTCTTAGATAAATCCACGATAGCAAGCAATATTCACTTTCTCTATGTATGCAGGTAAATATTAACATTTGCCAACTTTTTTTGAGAATGGGCTGTGAGTCACTTCATAATTTGCGTTGTTGATCCTAGCAATATGTAAAATTTCCATTCTTTCTTTTAATAGCTGGTAGTCTGGTTTACTGCCATAATATATTTTTCCTAATATGTAGTAATGCGTTTTGTAGGGTTCATATTAACTATAATCTGTTATATTTCTAGGGATTGACTTTAAAACAAAGACAATTGAAATTGATGAAACTTCAGTAAAACTCCAGATATGGTAAGATTTTCCTTTCCATTTGTCATCTGTGGCCAACATTATGCTGCTTTCCGATTAGTAACCCTTTGGCGTTGCAGTTTCTATGCTATGATACCTGTACATTGTCATATACATACATATAATACATATCAGACTTTTTTCCATTAGGCAAATAGTTCATCAAATGGAAAAAATATAATTTGCGAATGTGAATCCTGCCCAATGCATTCGGTGCTTGTTAATTGTAAAATCCGTGCTTTGTGAATCCTCTAATTCCTATACTTTGTTAGTCTAGTAAGTCTCGTGGCTAAAAATACCAACTATGTTTATTTTGCTGGTACATATTGTTACTTTTTAAACCAAAAAACATGTAGGCACTAATATAATCTAGAGTGTTTACAAATGCATTATTTCACAACTTAAAATGGGTCTTCGCTAAATTTTAAAAGTGATGATATATTACTTGACAAAGACTCTCTAATGATATGAAAATCAATTTGGGAAATCAGTGTTGAATTAGTCTGAAGTCATTGAGCAAGCTGAGCATTCTTAGCAATAATTGTGTAATGAGTCATGTTGCATTGCAAACTTAGCACAACTATACTAAAGCACAAGTAAGTCTGTAACCGAGTAAACTTGCAGAAGCCAGACACAGAGAGATGGATGCAGGTTTTCAGGAAGTAAGAGTTCTTTATTAACATACCGATCAGGACTCAGATGAACTAACGTTCCAAAACAGGTCTGAGGGCCGAACACATGGAGTACATTCTTTTTATAGAACTATAACTCCTCCCATTAATAGCTCCACCCACACATACACTTAACCAATTGGTGGACAGGATTTGGATTTCCTCATATGGGCAGACCACATGGCTCATCCGAAACAAAGGAGAAAGGAATGTGATTTCAGTTCCTGCATTTCTGCACATGCTCAGTACATTGATGACAGTATCTTAGCTACGTGTAACTAACTAACTGATACAACATACACATATGCCACGTGGAAATCTCTGCCTACTAAATTTACATTTCACCGAAATTCCATCACATTCCCCCCTTTGATGCCTCTGATACAAAATTATTCCAGATGCATCACCAATCATAGTTTACCAACACCTCTCAAGTTGCCATGGACCAGAACAGACCTTGTAAGCATCTTAGCATCATCACAAACTCCTTCAGCATTCCTCATCCTGAATATGTTCTCTTTGGGCTAGGGATTCAAATCTATAGACAGCCATTAGATGAGCAGCTGTCTTTCTTTCTATAGTACTCTCTATGATACTACGTATAGATCTGACCACTAATGGAATTAGGCAGGGCAGAAAGAGACTAAAGAATATAATGAATACTACTCCTCCTACTAACGCCTTAATCCCTCCAAGCTGCTCATACCAACTTCCAAACCAACTACTAGGATTATACCCATTCCAGACCTGAGTAGGTACATGCGTCAGTTTAACCATGTGGCTTGTAAGTTCATCCACTGCCCGCCCTTCATCATCTATGTGCAAACAACAGTTGTTGAGATTAGACTTTCCGCATACACCTCCCTCTACTGCTAATAGGTAGTCCAGAGCTAATCTATTTTTATAGATGGCTGATCTCATCCTAGTATTTTGCTTAGCTAGAAGATTAAGTGCTTGAGCTGTCTCACTAGTGATAATCTCAACCACCGCCTGTAGTCCTATAATACGGTTGGGCATATATATTGGGGTTCTATATCCATAGGTACCATCTTCTGCCCAAGTAGCAGGTCCATAATAATTAATAATGCATTGGGGAGGCCACTCATCATCTTCCCAGCTACCTATCTTCAAGGATGCTCGCTTCTTTTTATGATTTACATCATAAACCTTAACTCCCAAGGTCTCTCCTGTCTCAATTGGCAACAAGAAGAAGGATGGTTTGAGCATACTTAACACACATGCCCCTTCCCAATCTTGTGGTAACTCTGAATATGCGTTCTTACCACAGATCCAATATAAATTCGCTGGGGCTTTCCAATTGGATGTAGCAGATAAGTCAAACCATACCTCTTTTAAATGTGTGTAATTGACAAACGGATTAGTAGGCTCTGAGACATTTGAAGCTGACCACCAAGTAGTATCTTTAGTATCGGCATTATAGGCCTTCTGTCCTAGACATGTTAACTCACCAACGGGTGTGGTATACAATGGCCCTTTCCTGGCTAAACATTTTAACCGCCACTCTGATTTACCTCTAGTACTTACTTGATGATCAGACTGAGAAAGTATTTGTTGTTCATCTGTCTCAGAACCAGGGTACAATACTTCCTTTGCCTCCCATGGCCACTGGTCTCCCATATTAGTACCTCCACATACAAAGCAATTAGTTACATTAAGACTACCCGCAATACTCTCAGCCAAATCAATAAATAGGTTCTTAACATTATGGGGAATTTTATCCTCAACACTCATCTCCTCATAGAAGGAATGAAAAACCTGATGAGTTTGATTTGCTATCATCTCAGTTTCAAGTCCTACATATATTATGGTCACTGGATCTACTCCTGTGCCATATATTTGGAACCCAAATAGATTTCCAAATTTATCAATAAAATGTTGTGGATTAGATATGGTCATATGGACAGGATTACATTCCATAGACTTACAGTATGGTGTAGTGGGCATCCTTTGGATAATCATATCTTGATCCACTGTTTTTCACCCTACACAAGACCAATATGGACAAAAATTAAAATCTCTATTTGGGCAATCAGGATCAGTAGATCTTTTACTGGGACATAAATATTTATCATTAAACCCATAAGTTCGTTCCCATGTAAGATTACCACATACATTCCAAGGTTTTCCACTACCCGAGATCGCCTTACATGCATCAAATAGTAGAATGCCCGTAGAATGTATGGTATTTATCACAGTCCTATTTATCAAGGTCCCCTGGGAGTTACTGTACCGAATTACCAACCAAATTGTATGGTGTTGGAATTGGGGATCAAAACATTTAAGCTCTCCTGATATTGGTTTGCACACACTGTAATCTATATCTAAATATCTACACTTAGATACAGATCCCCTACACTCATACTGTGAGTGCCAAATGAGAGTTTGGGATAGTTGGTTACCTGTTTTCGTAGTCTTAATGCAGCTAACACAACTCTGTATGTCCTCACCTTTACCTTCCTGAAAAATCACAAAAATGCCTAAACACATAATATAACATATTATTTCAGAAGTCCTCATTTCTACTCTTCGACTGTGCAACGGCACCTCAGCTTCCCGATTTTGAGGGCTGCAAGGATTGTCATTCTTCTGATCCTCACTTTTCTTCACAGAGGTCCCCTCGAGACACTCTGGCTATGACATGTAGGTAGGTGGTCAGGCTTTATTATGGCCGTCAAAATACCTACTTGCTGATATCTGTTGTTACTTTAAACTAGGATGTCCCAATATCTCCTCGTATTATTTCTCACTCCGACGTAGTTACCCACTTTAACCGGATCTTGCAAGGATTTTCAGGATCTGGAATAGCTTGCTAAGAATCTGCCGCTGGTTTAACCCTAGAATGATGAATCCACCGAATCACTTCTGCCACTTTTACAGCTGTTGGAGTAGATAAAAGAACAACATAAGGACCCCTCCACTTTGGACCTAATGGAACAATATTCCATTCTTTTATCCACATTTGATCTCCTGGTTGATAGGAATGAACAGGTGGATATATGTTCACAGGTAACCTATCTTGCACCCATTTCTGTACTTCCTCCATAGTTTTACCCAACTCTACAACCTGCTGCCGAGTAATTCCTTCACCCAACTGATTCAAGTCCCCCCTTAGATTACTGAGTATGGGAGGTGGACGCCCACACACAATTTCAAAGGGAGACAGACCCATTCTTCTGGTAGGAGTACTACGTATCCGCGTATTCCACTTGAGCTGAGTTTCCTGACACATTTTAGCCAATTGGGTTTTTATTGTTCTGTTCATCCTTTCCACCTTTCCAGAACTCTGAGGTCTATATACTGTATGAAGTTTCCACTTAATACCAAGCACATGAGTCAATTGTTGTAAACACTAATGGATAAAGTCTTTTTATAAGTTTCTACTTGATGAAGCCTATTGTGGCGAAACGCGTATAGGAACTTTTTATATAATCTAAGTGTTAATAAAGGAATATTTGGCTATTATACATTTGGTTGCCACATTCCTCTTCCCACCTTAGTATTATATTAAGTATAATTTTATCATTTTACTATTTGCAAGTTTATTTTATTCAGACCTGACTACTACTACTTTTTTGTCCATATTGGAGTACCAAGAATCCTAAGGTGGGGATTATACCACCCATACTCCATCCACCGAGCACTGGACTACTCCACCAAAGTACTCTGCTAAAGAACAAAAAAGGAGCAACGTATATCCTTGAGTGGGGATTATTCCACTACGTGCCATTTACACCAGAGCTGGATATAAGCTCTGAATATTGTGAGTAGTTCTACTATTCTATATACAATATTATTTTACCGTTCATACTATACCATTGGAGTTTCCCTTGTCTTCTGTTTTCTTCACATATCCATTTTGAAGCTGCGGATATACATCTGGGACTTCACATACCATTTTATGTAGCACTAGGACTACCTCCTGCATATGTGGATTATTTATATTCGGACTTTCTAGGTATCGCTGCTTGGACTCTCTGATACATATTTTTATACATTCATTCTACTTGTCTTAGGCGCACCCTTATTTGTGCTTTTCTCTCCAAAGGCTGGACCATTGTCTGATCCGATAGAACACGGAAGTCCATATCTGGGTATAACTTCTCGCAACAGAAATCGTACAACTTCTCCTGCCTTTTATGTACGAGTTGGACAAGCTTCTACCCAACCTGAGTAGGTACACACAGCTACCAACAAGTAACTATATATCCCAGATTTAGGCATTACAGTGTATCTGCAAATATATATTGAACTCCAGAGGGTTTGACAGGACCTTGTCTTGCATTGTTTTGAGCACACAAAACACATCTTGGTATGTAGAAATGTTTCCTGAGAGATTCTTCCATACTATCTCTTCCTGAATGTGTACCATTATGAAAGTTCTGAACAATCTCTATAGCCAGAGATGTTGGAATAACTATTCTTCCATCTTCTAACTGATACCAATTATTCTCCAAGTATTTTCCAGCTACTTCAACCACTCCATCTCTTGGGTTGTATATATCGGAGTCCATTGAGACAGAGGTGCCGGCACAAGGGCAGCAACATACCCCACATATTCCTCTTGCCCGGATTCAGCGGCATATTTTGCTGCTCTATCGGCCATGCGATTTCCTTTTACTACATCACTATCACCTTTCAGATGTGCCCTGCAATGTAAAATACAGACTCCCTTCGGTTCCCATACCGCCTCTAATCGTTGGAGTATTTCTGCTGCATACTTGATTTCTTTCCCTTCTGAATGCAACAATCCCCTTTCTTTATACAATGCTCCATGGGCATGGGTGGTTAGAAAAGCGTATTTCAAATCTGTGTAAATATTCACTCTCAGCCCTTCAGCTAATTGCAAGGCCCTTGTTAATGCAATCAGTTCCGCCTTTTGTGCTGATGTCCCTTTTGACAGTGGCCATGCTTCTATCACCTTGTCTGTGGTTGTTACCGCATACCCTGCATAACGTATACCTTCGTTCATATAACTACTACCATCTGTATAATACTGTATGGCCGGATTCTGGATGGGGAAATCATGAAGATCAGGCCTGCTTGAAAACACTTCATCCATTATCTCCAAATAATCATGTTGAGTTTCAGTAGTCTGGGGCAGAAGGGTAGCTGGATTCAAATTATTGACAGTCTCGAGGTGTACTCTCGGATTTTCACATAACATAGCTTGAAATTTGGTAATTCGACTGTTGCTAAACCAATGATTTCCTTTGTAATCCAATAGGGTCTGTACTTCATGGGGTACTCGCACATAGAGTTCCTAACCCAATGTGAGCTTTTCAGCTTCTGCTACCAACAGGGCAGCGGCAGCCACTGCTCACAGACAAGGTGGAAGACCACTGGCCACTGCATCCAACTGTTTGGACATATGAGCTACAGGTCTTTGCCATGATCCCAAATACTGAGTTAATGCTCCCACAGCCATTCTTCTTTGCTCATGTACGTACAGATAGAAAGGACGCGTGTGATCTGGTAGACCTAGGGCTGGGGCACTCATAAGTGCTTTCTTAACATCCTCAAATGCCTTCTGTTGTTCAGAGGTCCACAAAAAGGGGTCATATTCTGTGCCTTTCACAGCTTCATATAGAGGTTTCGCCAGTATCGCATAATTAGGAATCCATATCCTACAGAATCCTGCTGCTCCTAAGAATTCTCGCACTTGTCTTCTATTCTTAGGTTTAGATATCCGACACACTGCTTCTTTTCTTTCAGGTCCCATTATTCTTTGACCTTCGGAAATATGGAATCCTAAATATTTAACAGTTGACTGGCACAACTGCGCTTTCTTTTTTGATACCTTGTCTCCTGCTCTCCATAGAATGTGAAGCAAATCATAAGTTGCTTGTTGGCATATCTCTTTAGTAACAGACGCTATCAAAAGATCATCCACGTATTGAAGCAATACACATTCTCCTGGGATGGACTTGAAATTTTGCAAATCCTGGCTTAATGCAGATTCAAATCGGGTAGGTGAATTCTTGAACCCTTGAGGTAGTCTGGTCCAGGTCATCTGACGCTTTGAACCTGTAACAGCATCTTCCCATTGGAAAGCAAAGATACACTGACTCTCAGCAGCAATCCGAAGGCAAAAGAAAGCATCCTTAAGGTCTAGAACTGTGAAGTAGGTTGCCCCACCTGGTATCAAAGCAAGTAGATTATAAGGGTTGGGTACAACTGGGTGTATATTGACTACTGCATCATTAACTGCTCTCAAATCTTGTACAGGACGATATTCATCTGATCCTGGTTTCTGAACATGTAATAATGGAGTGTTCCAGGGGGAAGTACAGAATTTTAGGATGCCATACCTTACGAACTTATCCAAGTAGGTCTGTATGTTTTTCTTAGCCTTTTGAGGTATATGATACTGACGTAAGCTCACAGGATAGGCCCCAAGCTTTAGTTCAATATGTATAGGTGGAATATTACGAGCAAGCCCAGGTGGATTATTATCTGCCCAGACTCCTGGAATGTCAAATAAAGGTTCATCACTCTTAGGGTTTACACTTGTCATTATGGAGTAGAAGCGCCATTCTTCTTCCCTTGGCACTGATACCGCCATTATGCCTGGTAATCCATTAAATCTCAGAGACGTTGATCCATTGGGTAGAACAGTTATCTGGGCTTGAAGCTTCGATAATAGATCTCGTCCTAGAAGTTGAATTGGACACTCTGGCATATATAGGAACTGGTGCTTCACCAAATGGCCTCCCAGAATGCAAGTGCGACTTTTAAGAACCGGTCTAGCTGCGCTTCTCCCAGTAGCTCCTATCACAGTTATAGTTTTTCCTGAAGGCGGAGCCACCAGTTTAGTCACCACGGAATGTTCAGCACCAGTGTCAATCATGAAAGAACTTCTCTTTCCCCCCATTGCTACATCGACCATAGCCTCTGCTCGGCCAAGGGGGATGAAGCCCGGTCGGTATCAATAGTCTTCCATGATAGTGTCAGCCAGACCCACAAAATCTCTATCCTCTCTATCTCTTGGTCTCTGAGTAGGTAGATAATATCTATCTTCTTGAACACTCCCTCTACTATTCCCACCGTTCCCTCCAAAACCTCCTCTTCTTCTATAACTACCACTATAACCTCCCCGTACTCTTCTCTCTCCTTGTCTATTATTTTCATAATACTCTCTCTGTGGACACTCATTCTTCCAATGTCCTTCCTCTCTACAATAGGCACATTGATTCCTACTAAAAGGTCCCTTAGCCTATTCTCAACTCCTTTATTCACCTCCCTTCCCTGTCTTTCAACACTTGTGGTAGCTACCACTAGCATATCTGCCTTCTTCCTCATTTTACGTTCTTCCGCCCGCTTTATCTCAGTTTCCCTATTCATATATACTTTATTTGCGATCTCCATTAGCTGTGATATGGACATCCCTACAAATCCCTCTAACTTTTGCAATTTTCTTTTAATATCACCTTGGGCTGACAAATGCTGAGTTGATCATTCGAGAATTCTCAGGGGCCTCTGGATTAAGAGGAGTATACAATCTATATGACTCCAATAATCTTTCATAAAATGCACTAGGTGACTCATCAACCTTTTGCAACACCTCAGCCGTCTTTGAGATATTGATTGTCTTCTTCCCTCCTGCCTTCATGCCAGCAATAATGGCTTCCCGATAAACCCTTAATTGGGGCATGTCAGCACCATTCACATTCCAATTTGGGTCAACATTTGGATAATGGGCTGCAGCCCATGCAGCTGGATTGTCCTGATTTTGAGTAGGGGCCGTTTCCTCAAGCGCTTTAATGGCCGCTTGATTAATCCGGGTCCCTTCCTCACAATTAAAGTTAATAATAATTGCTGGCAATCGGCCCAGGTGGGATTATGTTTTTGTATAATGGAGGTAACCAAATCTGTCATGACTTGAGGTTTGTCGGTATACGAAGAGTTATGAGTCTTCCAATTGAATAGATCAGTTGTGGTGAAGGGTATTTGACCATTTTCGTCAACGTGTGTTGGGCCCGGTGTAAGTCGGAGGGGCATTTGGTAATGTCGGGGTTGAAGGGTACCAGTCATCTGTTGGGTTAATATAGGACTTCGGTAAGGCTGTTTTATAGTAAGTTCCGGTCTAGGGGTAGTAAGGTAAGGAGAATGAGGCAGGTTAATTTTACTGGGCAGAAGTTCAGTCAACAGGATGTTGCGGGCCGGGCTGGGAGGAGCCTGACCAGGAATCAGTAGTGACGTTAATTCCGGATATATAGAACTAGTGGAGGTAGGTACTGGAAGGGGAGGATTCAGGGCAAGTGGGCTGGGCTCTAAACTAGATGAATGAGTGGGCAGGGACAATGGGGAAGAAGGAGTAATAACACCAGCAGCACCTCCTCTAACCTTAGAGGAGGAGTAAGGGGGTGGGGAGGGAAGTTCAGACTCAGAGGGAGAGTCTAAAATGGGCGGGGTTGCGGCCCTGATGGACAGGCGAGTCCTGGCCACCATGAGGCGACATTGCTCCTCGTGGCATACCTTAATCCATTTAGGCAATTCTTCCACAATCTGTTTCCAACAATCAATATACGGAAACTGATCATGAAATTCAGGCCTTCCTGATACAGCCACGTGCACACGTTGTACTAGAGTTAGCTCCAGACTACCACGTGGAGGCCATTCGGTCACCAAGATAGGCCACTCTCTACTACATAATGTAGTCAAACGCTTTGGGGATAATTTCACCCCCAAATCACAAACTTTATATCCCTTTGCAAAGTTGTTCAACATACACGACATGGGATCAACAATCTTTGAGTCAGACGCACCCATACTGGCAATGGAGCGTCTAATACAGAGAAACACAATACCCCAAACACACTTCCAACGATCACACTTGTTTCCCTGGCAACAGCACCACGTGGCACAGTTGCTAGGCCAAACACACACGCGCGAAAACACGCAGAGAATTCTCGTACATACAGTGATATCACGACGTCTCACTCACAAAGATTTACCAAACACTAGATACTTATCTCTGTAACTATAAAGCAAACCCTACAATTATCCACATTATAAATCAACTTTTAACTAACCGACTATGTCACATTCTAGTAACCTCATCTTTACAATCAGTGATTATGGTACGGTTAGCAAGTGGTTATAACACAGTTTTAAAGTCACAGATCAGTTAGTAACAGTTATGGTGTTACACATATAACATAAAACAACAGTTTTTAGTTATTTTTACACAACGTCAGTAGTTATAGTACATGTTAATGGTTTTAATACCGTGCGCTATTATACAGTATACACACAATTTACACTCCCACTAGATGGCAGAGCTCAAGCTTTCTAGCAGGACATACAATTCACCAATTCACCAACTACAGTATATTTAACAACATTTACAATAATCCCAACTATTCTAATTGGCCAGCACCACGAGAACTATCGAACTATTTACACCAGGAGTCTACGCTGCCCAAGCACCACATATAGCGAACTAGTGGGCGGAATTTACAACAGTACCCATTTAGTCTATCTACTCTATCAATTGTTTAGTGGCTGAATTTACAACAGGGCACACTTAGCCAAGATAGGTTGAGAACTAGCAGACGGAATGTACACCAGAATCTGCTTAGTCTTGCCGGCCTCCCCGACCTAGCGACTGAAATTTACACCTAGACACGCTAGTCAAGACAGGAAACCGGTGTCCGGCATAAACTATTTACACCAATATTTAGCCTGACCCAAACCACCTATATTAGACGGGCTGACTACAGAGCGTCTAATTTCCAGATAAGCGGTGCGCCTTCGCTTCTTCCCTCCAGAGGGAGGGGGCAATCCAATAACCGGTACCAAATATAAAACCCCTTGTGGGCCTACCGCTCTAACGGGATCAGGCTTACCTCTTCGTTCTGAACCTGGGCTCACACTGATCGACGGGGCACCCTGGTACTTAGTACGTAAAGGCGATGATCTCCTGGGCGAAGCAGCCTAGTGACGCCGAGATGAAGGGATGTCCACGCAGAAGTTCAGGGGTGCTGCCGTAGAGAACATTGGTAAAAAGTTTAACGTCTCAAATCTCTGTGCCAGCTTCCATGCGATGAGGTTATAACTCCTCCCATTAATAGCTCCACCCGCATAAACCCTTAACCAATCGGTGGACAGGATTTGGATTTCCTTATATGGGCAGACCACATGGCTCATCCGAAACAAAGGAGAAAGGAATGTGATTTCAGTTCCTGCATTCCTGCACATGCTCAGTACATTGATGACAGTATCTTAGCTACGTGTAACTAACTAACTGATACAACATACACATAAGCGACTTGGAAATCTCGGCCTACTAAATTTACATTTCACCGAAATTCCATCACAAGCCCATTAGTTTAGTAGGTGCAAGTCCGCATTGTTTAATATTTCATACAGATATATATATATATATATATACTGACCTATCTTTCCACTCCTCTAAGTTAACACATAGGACCAGGTGGAAACAGGAACTGGGTTGACTTTTACACTTAAACAATGGTCGACAGCACTTTCACTTTTACATGGAGACTAGCCATTAATTGATAATGCAATGGCATCTGAGTGTCAGGATTACTGTTTGATCCAGCACGCAGAACTGTACAGCATGGATGACAAATAAGTAACGTATTACCGGTCCTTAGAATGGCCGGATTTAACGTACAAAGAATAGTCAAAAATACTAGCCGAGGTCAGGGAACACAGAAAGGGACACAGCGATGAGGAAAGTCAGGATACCAGAATATAGAGAAGTCAATAAACAAAGCCAAAGTCAAAAACCAGGTAGAAAACTATAAACAGGAACGCGCTCTCGGACAACCACAAGCCGAAACCCAAGAACGATCAGCAGGACCGTAACCTTTCCAAACAACCAAGTACTGTAAAGTGCCCCGAGAAAACCTAGAATCCACGATAGAAGATACCTCATACTCTTCCTGACCACCCACCACCAACGGAGGGGGAGGAACACAAGGAACAGTATATCTATTGCAGACAAGAGGTTTGAGTAAGGACACATGAAAAGTGTTGGGAATCCCTAAAGATGCAGGAAGAGCCAGAGAGTAAGACACTGGATTGATCCTACGAAGCACTCTATAGGGACCAAGGAATCTGGGGGCAAATTTCATGCTAGGGACCTTAAGCTTGATGTTGCGAGATGACAACCAAACCCGGTCCCCCACTTGGTACACCGGGCTGGCACTCCTACGCTTATCAGCAAAATGTTTGAAGCGTTCAACAGCAGCCCCTAGAGCAGTTTGAACCTTAACCCAGGTATCCCGAATGGAGACCAGGCGCTCATCCAGAGCAGGAATGGCAGTATCAGAAAATACTGCAGGGAGAACCGTAGGATGCCTACCATTATTGACAAAAAATGGACTGTGCCCAGAGGAGTCATGAACAGCATTGTTTCTAGAGAACTCGGCCCACGGGAGTAGTTCGGACCAATTGTCTTGTGTGCTATTAATAAAACAACGCAAATAAACTTCTAATGACTGGTTAGCCCTCTCAGCTGTACCATTGGTCTGTGGATGGTAGGAGGAGGAGAAGGAGAGATCAATCCCCAATTGTTTACTGAACGCCCTCCAGAACCTGGACACAAACTGAGAGCCCCTATCAGACACAATATTGTGGGGGATGCCATGCAAACGGACAATTTCACGTATGAAAATTAGGACCAAATCTTGCGAAGATGGCAACTTCTTGAGAGGAATGAAGTGAGCCATCTTAGAAAATCGATCTACAACCATGAGAATAGTAGTGAACCCAGCAGAGCTAGGAAGCTCAACAATAAAGTCCATGGATAAGTGGGACCATGGAATCTCAGGAACAGGAAGAGGCTGCAACAGGCCACAAGGAAGTGCATGAGTCACCTTAGAAACTGCACATACAGAACATGCCAGCACATACTCCTTTACATCTTTCCTGAGTGAATCCCACCAAAATGATCTAGTGATCGCGGCAGTGGACTTATTGATGCCCGGGTGTCCAGCAGTTATATTGTCATGGAACACTTTCATGATATTAACCCTTTCACATAGGGGAACGAACAGTTTATCACACGGTTTACCACTGGGCGCCTGAGGTGGGCCTCCAGTATGGTGCCAAACAGTGGAGAAGACAGTGAGAGGACAGTAGTAGCAATAATACACTCTGGTGGAATAATAGGAGATGTCACCTGTTCCGGAGCTGACTCATTATCAAATTGCCTGGACAAGGCATCAGCCTTGGTATTTTTAGAACCAGGTCTATAAGTAATGAGAAAGTTAAAACGTGAAAGGAACAGTGACCATCTAGCCTGTCTGGAAGACAAACGTTTGGCATCCCCTATATATGCCAGATTTTTGTGGTCGGTTATGATCAACAGGGGGTCCTTGGAACCCTCCAAAAGATGTCGCCACTCCTTGAGGGCAAGAATAATGGCCAACAGTTCTCTATTGCCAATATCGTAGTTGCGCTCAGCAGGAGACATCTTTCTGGAGAAGTAGCCACAAGGATGCAATGGTGTTCCCTGGCTTTCTCTCTGAGAGAGAACAGCCCCTACCCCTGTCTCGGATGCATCAACCTCCAATATAAAAGGTTTACTAGTGTCGGGATGTTTTAGTATGTCTGCAGAGGCAAATCTTTGTTTAAGAGTCTCAAAAGCATTCACAGCCTCTTTGGACCATACCGTGCTACTAACCCCTTTGCAACTCATATTTGTGATTGGGGCTATTACAGAAGAAAATCCCTTGATGAATCTTCTGTAATAGTTGGCAAAACCAATAAACCTTTGAATGGCTTTTAAACCAGAGGGTAATGGACAGTGTAGTACAGCCTCTAGTTTTTTAGGATCCATTTGAAATCCCGATGCAGAGATGTTGTAACTCAAAAAGTGGACTTCAGGCTGGTCAAATATGCACTTTTCTAATTTACATTAAAGTTTATTTTTCAACAACGTCTGCAGAACCTGTTTCACATGGGAGTGGTGAGTTTGAAGATCAGGGGAATACACCAAAATATCGTCCAAATAAACCAAGACAAATGAGTAAATGAATTCCCTGAGTACATCATTTATAAAGTCTTGGAATACGGCCGGGGCGTTGCATAACCCAAATGGCATTACCAGATATTCATAGTGTCCACTACGGGTATTAAATGCCGTCTTCCACTCATGATTCTCTTTAATTCTAACCAAATTGTAAGCGCTCCTAAGGTCAAGCTTAGTAAATACTTTAGCTCCCTGAAGTCTATCGAACAATTCGGAAATGAGTGGGATAGGGTATGCATTTTTTACAGTGATTTTATTAAGTGCCCTGTAGTCTATGCAAGGGCGTAACTCACCACCCTTTTTCTCAACAAAAAAGAATCCTGCACCAGCTGGTGAGGATGACTTTCTTATGTGCCCTTTGCTCAAGGATTCTTTGATGTATTCCTGCATTATTTTATTCTCCTGGGGAGATAAGGCATAAACTGCCCCCTTAGGTGGCATAGCGCCTGGAAACAGGTTAATGGCACAGTCATATGCTCTGTGGGGAGGCAATGCATTGGATTGAACCTTGTTAAACACCTCCTGAAGTTCTTGGTATTGTATGGGAACTCCAGGAGTTTGGGGAGTGGTAGTGGGAAGGTCAATAGTATCCAATCTCTTTAGTACTGGTTTTATACATCTCCCCATACACTCTTTACCCCATTCTCTATATCTCCCCATTAGCCCAGTCAATATAGGGATTGTGCTTACTCAGCCACGGAAACCCTAATATGATAGGACATGATAGAGAAGTAATAACCCGAAACGTCATCTCCTCCCTATGGGAGGCCCCAATGGAGATCGTAATAGGGACAGTTTCGTGGGTTATAAGCGGTTGTGTGAGTGGTCTACCATCAATAGCCTCTACAGCTAGTGGCGTAGGTCTCTCCCTGACCGGTATCTCATTATCCCTAATAAACTGGACATCAATAAAATTTCCAGCAGCACCTGAGTCCATTAGGGCACTGTAAGAAAACTTCTTGTTATCAAGGGAAATAGATACCTCAAGGAGGAATCTACTTTTGTTTTTGTTAGAGGACAACTCCATCACACCTAAGATCTGTCCCCTTAAGGTTCTTAGGTGCGGAAGTTTTCCAGACGCACTGGACAATTAGTTATCATATGTCCCTTTCTACCGCAATATAGGCATAACCCCTCCCCTCGGGTTCGGACTGTACAGGGAGGTTAGACAAAACAGGTTTAGAGAATTGAGGTGCTAGGGATATAGCCGTACGTCTGGTCTTGCTTCTGGTGACTTCTCTGAGTCTTAACCTATTATCAATATGCATGACAAACGTAATAAATTCGTTAAGGCTCTTAGGTAATTCTTTAGCGGCTATCTCATCTAGTATAGACTCTGAGAGACCCTTTTTGAATGCTGAGATTAACCCTTTGTTAGTCCAGTCTACCTCGGAAGCTAAGGTACGGAATTCAATAGCATAATCCGAGATAGACCGGTTACCTTGTCTGATGTGCATTAGGGCAGTGGAGGCGTCATCCTCTCTACCCAATGGCTCAAACGTGAGCTTGAATTCGGCAAGGAATTCCTGGTAATTATGAGCTATGCTCCGATTACTCTCCCACAACGGATTAGCCCAGGCAAGGGCCTTGCCCTTTAATTGATTCATTAGATAACCAATTCTTGCTCTGTCCGTGGGGAATGACACTGGTGAGGCCTCAAAATGTTACTCCACCTGATTAAGAAAACCCCTGCATTCCTGAATATTGCCATCAAACTGTAGGGATGGTGATAAGGAGATGCTAGGAGTCCTATTAACAGTGGGTGGAGGTACACAGGGTAGAGGTGCTATAGGAGGAGACGCTGCAGGCTGCAGATGCTCTGTTCTAGCGAGAAGCGTACTTAAAGCCTGAGTGAATTGATCCATGCGGTGATCATTCTCCTCTAATTTCCTCTCGCAAGCAGCTATGTGCTGACACAGTTCTACAGGATCTATGGCCATGTCGTAATGTCAGGATTACTGTTTGATCCAGCACGTAGAACTGTACAGCACGGATGACAAATAAGTAACGTATTACCGGTCCTTAGAATGGCCGGATTTAACGTACAAAGAATAGTCAAAAATACTAGCCGAGGTCAGGGAACACAGAAAGGGACACAGCGATGAGGAAAGCCAGGAGTCAGGATACCAGAATATAGAGAAGTCAATAAACAAAGCCAAAGTCAAAAACCAGGTAGAAAACTATAAACAGGAACGCGCTCTCAGACAACCACAAGGGAAACCACGACAGGGCACTGAGCAGGCTGAGAACTGGGCCTAAATACCCCTCCTTTAGTTCTGATAGGCTGTAACCGGCCTTTGACCCCAAAGTCAGTTACCAGGTTTCATTTGCATAATTGCTGCTCAGCATTAACCCTTCTGTGGATTAGGTTGCTGCTCGGCACAACTTTTCTTGTGTGGACAGTAAATGTCATTAACCACATTTCTATAAGCGGATGAATACGTGACACTGAGTCCCTTGCAGGCGTTCTTGTGTATTTCCTACATCCAGCCCGCTTTGTTGGAGAGGTGGAAATGATCATGGCACTCTCTCCCATATATTCTGATTTTGCTCAGTAATACAGCCTTTTTGATCCCAGATAAGAACTTTCATTGCAAATTTAAAGGGACACTATAAACACCCTATGAGCACTAGAAGCACTTCCTGCAGTTTCATGGAGTTTAACTCCTTGAAACAGTGCTGGATGTCCTCACACTTTGCACGAAGATGTCCAGTATCTTCAAAATCCCCGTAGAAAAACATTGATGCATTACTTTACTATGGAAAAAGCCTAATGCACACCATGCAATAGGTTTCCCCCTTGGAAAGAACTCAGCGCTGGAAAAAGGTAAGTGTTTCAACGTTTTTTTAATCCTTTAATCACTGGGTGGGGGGTGAACAATTGCTTTAGGGCAGAGGAACACTATATCATTAGAAATACAGTTTTGTATTCCTAACACTATAGGCTTCCTTTAACATCGTTTGCGCTAGGCTCTTAAGTGTGCCGAAATGTGGGTGGTTTCTGTGACATGTGTCTTGCTCTGGTAGACTGTTTGAACTACATGTGCTATACTTACTGTGAGGGGAAAATTTATTTGATCCCCTGCTGATTTTGAACGTTTGCCCACTGACAAATTATCAGTCTATAATTTTTATGGTAGGTGTATTTTAGCAGTGAGAGACAGAATTTTAAAGGGATTGCTCCTAAGCTCAGCTCGTTACCTGTATAAAAGACATCTGTCCACAGAAGCAATCAATCAAATATCAAACTCTCCACTGTGGCCAAGACCAAAGAGCTGTCCATGGATCCCAGGGACAAGATTGTAGACATACACGAGGCTGGAATGGGCTACAAGGCCATCGCCAAGCGGCTTGGTAAGAAGGTGACAACAGCAGATTATTCGCAAATGGAAAAAACACAAAAACACTGTCAGTCTCGCTCGGTCTGGTGCTCCATGCAAAATCTCACCTTGTGGAGTTTCAATGATCATTAGAACTTTGAGGAATTAGCCCAGAACTACACGGGCAGCTGGGACTATAGTCACCAAGAAAACAATTGATAATACACTATGCCGTGAAGGTCTGAAATCCTGCATCATCCACAAGGCCCCCCTGCTCAAGAAAGCACATGTACAGGACCGTCTGAAGTTTGCCAATGAACATCTGAATGATTCAGAGGAGAACTGAGTGAACGTGTTGTGGTCAGATGAGACCAAAATCGAGCTCTTTGGCATCAACTCAACTCGCCATGTTTGGAGGAGGAGGAATGCTGCCTACGACCCCAAGAACACCATCCCCACCATCAAACATGGAGGTAGAAACATTATGCTTTGGGGCTGTGTTTCTCCTCAGGGGACAGGACAACTGCAAAGGGACAATGGACGGGGCCATGTACCGTCAAATCTTGGGTGAGAACCTTCTTCCCTCAGCCAGGGCATTGAAAATGGGTTGTGGATGAGTATTCCAGCATGACAATAACCCAAAACACACAGCCAAGGCAACAAAGGAGTGGCTCAAGAAGAAGCACATTAAGGTCCTGGAGTGGCCTAGCCAGTCTCCAGACCCTAATCCCATAGAAAATCTGTGGGGGGAGCTCAAGGTTCGAGTTGCCAAACGTCAGTCTCGAATCCTTAATGACTTGGAGAGGATCTGCAAAGAGGAGTGGGACAAAATCCCTCGTGAGATATGTGCAAACCTGGTGGCCAACTACAGGAAACGTCTGACCTCTTTGATTGCCACAAAGTACTAAGTCGAAGGGGTCAAATACTTATGTCACTCATTGACATGCAAATCAATTTGTAACTTTTTTAACATGCGTTTTTCTGTATTTTTGTTTTTTTGTTTTTCTGTCTCTCACTGTTAAATTACACCTACCATTAAAATTATAGCCTGATCATTTCTTTGTCAGTGGGCAAACGTTCAAAATCAGCAGGGAATCAAATACTTTTTTTCCTCACTGTAAATACCAGGTAATGAGGATCCAGGTCCACCTGGGCACGGCAAAAGGCTTTGTCAACAACCAACAGCAACAGAAGGAGGAGTCCAGCACAGTCCTAATCTCAATAAGGTGATAATGTATTGATAGTGTCAAATAAATGGGTGATGTTTTGGCCCCACACTGCTGCAAAGTTTTTATGGACTTGGACTCCTGGGACTTAATACTTCTATTTTTTACTGGTTTTGCACAAATAAACATTTTACTGAGGAACCCACAACAGTATAGTCTTTAATGGATTCTTGTTGCTCCCTAACAACTTAGAGGTGTAAATTGTCTCTTTACTTGCCTTTTCTTTTATCAATTTATACTGTGTATTTTTTATAGTGTACAAACTCGAAAACTTTAATAAAAACTGAAACATAAAAACAAAACAAAAAAAACAGTACCATATGTTTTTGTTTTTTTTGTGACTAGTAAATCCACATAAAAAAAATGAATGCAAAAAAAGTTATATGGGAGTCTACATTGTCACTCTGCCTAGGAATTATGATGCGTGAATCAAGCTATAGCTGCATGAATACAAATTATTCAGTAAAGTATGTCTGATAGCAATGAGAATTTCTGAAAAAACAGATTTAACATGTTTCCTTACTAAAATAATGTGATATTTAATTACAAAGAAACCTTTTGATCTTCAGTCAAACCATAACACAAATAAAGTATGCATGCAGATGTAATTTAATCAGTCAGTCAATGCAAATGATTACAGGGAAACACAGGAAGACATACTATAAATATAATATCTATTATATATCACTGTAGTGACTGCTTTAGAGAAAAAAACATGCATCATAATTCTCAGAATGCAATTAATGGCTATACAAGATAAAAACAACATAAAACACATGATATGAAATATAATTTTGTTAAAAATACAAAAGAGCTGTGTTATGAGAGAATGGAGCTTGACGTTGGAACTGAGCAAATGCCATACCGCAAACTATCTGCTGGATATCTCTCACATTGCACAACAGTGTCCTGAGTGACAGAGTCTAATCACAGCAGGGCATCACACTCTACTGATAAATACCTTTTTGTTCAACCCAGTCGTGAAACTGCAAAGCTGCAAAGTAGGGGCCTATTTATCTCCATAAGTTAAAGCCATTGAGTAAGCACAATCCCTATATAGGAGTCTCTGATCACAGAGGAGAACTCATCTGGTCAGAGGCCTTGCAGGGGCCCACTCCCGATCCAGCACAGATCACAGAAGCCTACTGTGGGGGATCCCACAGAAACAAGAGATATTGGCTCTCCGGTGAAGGCTGCAAGGTCTGCCACATGTCTCCTGAGGCCTGCAAGTCAGACCCACTACCAGCACACCCAATACTAGGGACTATCTTAACAACATGAGGGGCTTCTGAGGGATCAGCCCTGGTAAATAAACAGGACATTCAAAACTTATTTCATGATCTTAAAAAGTTATCTGCTGCAGATAGTTGTAAAAACTGGTATTCAAGCGGTTACTGAGCATGTCAGAGCTTCTGAAGAGGATGTCATAGATTTACATGTTGCCTTGTCTTCTCTACAAGACTCCTTTCACAGTCTACACAACTCACACAACAACTTCAACATTCTGGTGGCCCTTCTTGAAGATAAGAGTTGATGCTACAATATAAAACTTTGGGGTATCCCTGATATTATTTGCGCTGTGGAACAACATCAATACCTACCTGCAATGCCTTGTATCCTCCCTGTTACCTCCAATTCATGCCAAAAAAGTTGTTTACGTGTGTACCACATCAATAAATCTCCATAGGCACCAGCATTGGTATCCTGAGATGTAATAGCCAGGTGATCATCCTCCCAAGATAAAATGCACATTATGCTGGCTTTACATGGCGTCTTGCCTTTGCATTTAAATCAGCGCAGATTACTACCTACCAAGACCTCACCAGAGCCACACTTTAATGCAAAAGATCCCTTTGCACAATCACAAGCAAACTGCAAGAGTCTGGCCTACCCTAACGCTGGACGATGCTGCAGTTTGTCTACATTACTCACCACGGAACTGTAATTTCCACAGGAGGCTCCGTCCTTTCTTGGGACACTGGGACTTGCCCCACCACCATCATATCCCTCTGGGTCTACTACCAATCCAACCTGAGATCTAACCACTCTCGTACCTTTCATGCCTAGAAGCGGTCAGTTATCTGATCCAGGGACTTGATTTTGGCTAGCTCACACCAAGTACTGTTACATACTTCTGTATATGGAGGGTCAAGGGTGAATCAACTTGCTTGTTTACACTAAACAGATGTCAGGATTCCTCTATGTAATTCCGTTATACTGCCATATTGTTTTCACCCTCATCGGCATAACCCGTCTGATTTCCGGGTTTAGCCGATCCATTCACGTCCATACGTTTGATGTCACAGATCTCCCTTTAAAAAGGGACCCGCGACTACAGCTGATTGCTCAATCAATGTGTGTGGGTTTAAGTCTCAATCTCTCATTTGCTTGGAGCCGCTCGCAACTCTGATACTTTGTTTCAACTTGACTCACAAAGCTTCGATACTGTATTCCTGTGTACCGAACCTCTGGCTTTGATCCTGACAACTCTCTTCTCTTCACTCCCTGTAAAGAACATACTTCACTTTGGATCCCTGCACTCTCCTCATACTTCAAGGAACCAAAATCCACATTATCAAGGTAGGACTCTTAAGCTCAGTATCCAGCAAGATAAGTTCTCCTATACTGGGATTTGTATTCGGTTCATTATCTGCAGTTGAGTGGAAGTAAGGGATGCTAAAGTCTGCCTCTGGGATTTCATTTATGTTTTATTAAGAACTTTCATTTAATATTGCTCAAACAAGCTATTCCCAGGGGCGGACTGAGAACCCTCAGGGCCCCCGGGCAAAATAAATCAAGGGCCCCCTTACAGGCCCCACCCATACTCTGCAGCAAGTGCCACCCTTGTCCCGCCTCCATGCACCGCCTCCATCCACACCCTACACAATCTTTAGACACAAGGAACAAAAGGGCAATAAGCCCTTCGAGGCCCCAGCAGAGACTACAATTGAGGGCTAATGGGCCATGGAGGGGATTTCTAGCGGAGGCTATCTCAGTGTCCTTTAGAGAGTGTGTTAGAAAGAATCCCCTCAAGGCCCCATTAGAGACTACAATGGAGTCTAATAGGCTTGGAAGGGGGTCTTTCTAACAGAGGCCATCTCAGCGTCCATTAGATATCCCCTGCTGGAAACAGTCGCCTCCAGGCCCCAGTAGAGACTACAATTGAGGGCTAATGGGCCATGGAGGGGATTTCTAGCAGAGGCTATCTCAGTGTCCTTTAGAGAGTGTGTTAGAAAGAATCTCCTCCAGGCCCCATTAGAGACTACAGTGGAGTCTAATGGGGCCTGGAGGGTGGTCTCTCCAACACTCTGGTTCCTATTCACAATATAGCAACACAACATAGCTCACTGATACCTAGGCCAAGTTGGCTCCTCTTACCTTAATTACTGTTGCTGGCTGGCAGTCTGTGGGCTTGCTTGCTGCAGCTGGCAGGCTGTGGGCTTGCTGGCTACTGCCGGCAGGCTGTGGGCTTGCTGACTGTGGCTTGCAGGCTGTGGCTTGCTGGCTGCGACTGGCAGGCTGTGGGCTTGCTGGCTGCGACTGGCAGGCTGTGGGCTTGCTGGCTGCGACTGGCAGGCTGTGGGCTTGCTGGCTGTAAGCCTGTGGCTTGCTGTAGGCCTGTGGGCTGGCTACTGGCCTGTGGGCTGGCTAACTGGCTGGCTACTGGCCAGCCTGTGGGCTGGCTAACTGGCTGGCTACTGGCCAGCCTGTGGGTTGGCTGGCCGGCCTGTGGGCTGGCTGGCTACTGGGGCACTTGTAGATTATTTAAAGAAATAATCCATGCACAATAACCACTACTGCTCCAGAGTAAGTAGTCAAACCATTTAAGAACAGTTTGACAACTTACCTGGGATCTGCTGGGATATGGGGCTGTAGTAGGGAATAGGAGCAGTGGTGCAATGTGTGTGAAAGGTTCAGTGTGTGTGGGGGGTGTAGTGTGTGAATGTGTAGGCTGTGTACGTGTGTGGCAATGTTAGTATGGGGGGCTGTGTATGAGGGTCTATGTGTATATGGGTGGGCAGTGTATGTGTGTGTGTGAGGCAATGTGTATGGTGTGTGTGTGGGGGCAGTGTGTTTATGGGGCTAGAGTTCACTCTCACCACTGCGACCACCAGGAATCCCTGGGGGTCACAGTGTTGAGAGTGAACACTAGACCGTAGCTCCAGGGCTAGAGTTGACTCTCGCAAGAGCGGTAACGTTGCCATGGTAATCGCGGCAACGCTCTGTGCTCGTGCAAGAAGGACCCAGAGGAGCTGCAGGGTGAGCTCCCAGGTCCTCTCTTCCTTCCTCCCCTGCCCGCACGGTGCCTGCGGACAGGGGAGGGGGAGCAATTGCCCTGTTGCCCCCCTGGATCCACCAGTGATATATACAGCCCTTCTGTGTGCCTTTTTGTCTCCCCCCGTCCCTCTGTATGTTTCTTTCTCCCCCCTCCTTCCCAGTCTCTCTTACCCCTCTGCCTCTTTCTCCCTCTCTTCCACTGTTTTTCTCCCCCCTTTCCCTGTCTCTCTCCCCTACATCTCTCTTCCTCTCTGTCTCTTTCTCCCCCTCCCCATCTCTTTCTCCCCCTGTGTCTCTTTCTCCCCCTCCCTATCTCTCTATTCCCCGTTTCTCCCCGTGTCTCATTCTTCCCTCTCTGTCTGTCTCCCCCCTCCCCATATCTCTGTTCCCCCCTCTTTCCATATCTCTGTTCCCCCCCTTTCTCCCCATATCTCTGTTCCCCCCTTTCTCCCCATATCTCTGTTCCCCCTCCCTCTCCCCATCTCTTTCACCCCCCTCCCCATATCTCTATTCCCCCCTTTCTCCCCATATCTCTGTTCCCCCTTTCTGTTTCCATATCTCTGTTTCCCCCTTTCTCCCCCATATCTCTGTTTCCTTTCTCCCCATCTCTGTTCCCCCTCCCCTCTCCCCATCTCTCTGTTCCCCCTCCCTCTCCCATCTTTCACCCCCTCCCATAGCTCTTCCCCCTTTTCTCCCCATGGCTGTTTCCCCTCCCTCTCCCCTTATCCTCTGTTCCCCTCCTCTCCCCATATCTCCTTTCCCCCTCTTTCTCCCCTCCCCATCTCTCTATTGTCCCCTCTTCCCCCCTTGTTTCAGGTCTGGGGGGCGGCGGCCGTTTGATGCTGCAGCCGCCGGACCGGGTGACAGCCTCGCCGGTCCGGCGGCATTCCTCCTACTAACACTGAAGGAGGAGGAGGAGGAGGAGCATGTGTCTATCATGCTCCCTGCGGTTCCCACAATTCCCAGCACAGGATGTGGGAACCGCAAAGGAGCATGACAGACACATGCTCCTCCTCCTCTTTCAGCGTTAGTAGGAGGAATGCCGCCGGACCGGCGAGGCTGCCACCCGGTCCGGCGGTTCCAGCATCAAACGGCCGGCCCCCTCACAGTGTGCCACCGGGCCGGCCACCCGGTGGCACCTTCCTCTGAAGTCACCATATCCAGCCCTGCCGCCGGGCCCCCTGAAGGCGGCCCTGGCGGCGGGCCCCCCTCCGGGCCGGGCCCTCGGACCGTGTCCGAAGTGCCCGACCGGTCAGTCCGCCCCTGGCTATTCCTTATATTGGAGTCTAAGTGACTATATCCTTTCCTATAATCTGGGTCAATTAATAACTTCATTTACTGCTGTAAGGATTGTGTTCCTATAACAGAATTCACCTATTCCATATTCTCCTATTGAAAAGTATTGTGGACTGTGTGCTAATTAAGCTTGCCTTCTTAATTTTCCTTTTAATGTTACAATCTTGTAAAGCAATACTAAACAAGATTGTCATTCATGCGTTTTTACATCAAGACCTTTTTGCTACAAAAGTCTGCTAAGGTGAAATTATTTATTTTAAATAAATTGTTTTCTTAAAGTGACAGTATCACATTTTTTTCATTAACCTGCGGTTGAGTTACAAATAATTAAAATTTCAACGAGAACATTACAACAGATAAGATGGAGGTTCATCTCAACTATTTTCAACACAATAGTTAACCGTATTGACATTCTTTCTCAAGATCAGGGTACTCCTTCATATTGTATTGATGTATCTGTATTAGACAAAATAGCAGGTGTATCTCACTCATCTAGGGGTTCTATATCGACACATGAAAGCATCCCATAAACTCTCCATCATACTGCGAGTCACTTGTCTACATGTATTATTGAATCACATTCATAATCCTTGCAGCTATGAACCCTTACTTTCTATATATCTTGTATCTGATACAACGACTACACAATATTATTATTCATAATTTTACTGCTATTCTAGTACAAAAAAAGAAAATAATTGCTGTACTTTTTGACATACCATGTCCTTCCATTATTTTATTTGTTATGGCTGTTTTGTCTATGCCTGACTGTATTATTATTTCCGCACTGCGAAAATAAAAAATGTCAAAAAAAGAGTTGTTATAAAGCAGGTGTACTTTATTATGCAAAACAATGTATTTTGCAAAACATGTTTCTACATATACAACTAAATGCATATATGCAAATAGTATCTGCATAATATAATAATGTATGACTCTGAATACGGTTAGACAATTACATGTATTCAAAAGAGCTCCTCTTCTCTTTATTGCAGTAATAATAAATGCATGATAGCGAATAAATTCTATGTATTCAGAAACCATTCTCGTACTTTTTGTGAAATAATCTATCATATTATTCATGTATTTAAATCAGACAAGAAAAGACTAAATTGACATCACTATTATGAAGGAACATTTCCTAAGCACAGAATTATTTAACAATTAAGAACACGATTTCTGTTTATTTTGATAAGCATTTTAAAGCAGCACTATAGCATTGTAAATAGTGATGTCCCGAACGGTTCGCCGAACCTAACACTAATTGTAAATACAAACCTGTCCTATCACTAAAGTGTTCTCTTTATTAAGATTCAGCCTCCCTAAATCTAAATAAAAATTGGAGACAAGTATATTATTTTTTTTCTGCTCAGAGATCCAGTCCCTGGATCTACTCTTCCTGCCTCTCATGAAGTCACAATAACTTACCTACAGGGATGTGGAATTAAAAAAAATATAAATAAATAAAGAATAAAATAAATTTCCTTGTCCAAGGAATTTGCACAGCATGACAATATACTTGTCTTGACACAAAATAATTTCAATTAAAAAGATTGGAAGCCCTGCCAAGAGTCTAGGGCATTGACAGTGCTTTTTGCTGAATTCTGAATTTTCACTAAATAATTCGAAAAGGGAAAAAAACGGAGACAAAAATAACTGATGTGGGAAAATGTTCTAACACTGCTCTAGTCACAACACGGCTATTTTTGCCTCAGTTTTGCCATTTAGATTTATTTTGCAAAAAGTTGTAGCCTTGTGATTGTCCCTCCCATAGTCTCCCCTTTTTATCATAGTGTGTGTGTGTGCTTGCTGGGTCATCTGTGTGCGGTGTGTGCTTGTGGTGTGTCATGTATTTGAGGTGAGTGCTGGCTGTGTGTTGTGAGTGTGTGTGGTATACGCTGGCTGAGTGTCAAGTGTATGTGTGTGGATTCTGCTCACTGTGTCATGTGCATGTGGTGAGTACTGTACTTGGTGCAAGTATGGTGTGTGTTGGCAGTATGTGGTGCAAGTGTGGTGTGTGTGTGTGTGTGCTGGCTGTATGTGGTTGTGATACACTGAAACACACATACACTGACACACTGACTTACTCATACATACACACTGCACTCTTATACACACATACACACTGACTGACCCATACACAAACACACAGACCTACAAATTGACTGATCCATACACAAACATACTGACACACACACTGATCCATACACAAACACAGATAGATTAAAGCAAGCTGAGTAAGCCTAGTGTTGGCAATCTCATGTGGTCTAAGAGAGGGTGCTTGCATATTGCATGGAGTTTTGAGTAAGTTGTGTAAAAGGCCTCTCTATGTGAAGATTACATGTAGTATCGGGCTGAGTAAACATTGTGACTTTAGGCCAGAGTGTGTAAATACAAGTTTAAACATTTAGCCGCATAATCAGATAGGGTGAAGAGAGTACTACAATGGTGATCTAACCTCTGCAGAAGGTAGTGTGGCCCCCAGTTCCCAGTATGGAGCAACAGAACAATGCTTGTCAGTGGTCAGCCGATTCGATTTGCATGCTCAGGCTCTGCATGGGTCTTGCTAGGCGATCAGTGGGGGTGTCAGAGTGGTGGGAGCGAGGGGAGGCACCCCTTCAGCCCCAGGCTTTGGTTGAAGCCTGCATCTTCGAGCCGCGGTCACGGAGGCTCCGAAAGTCCCTGACCTCCTTCCATCTGGGGGAACAGGAGGCACTATTGGTCCTGGTCAGCAGCGGGTTTCCCTCTGTCTATACGGTCGATGCACAGGGACTAGGCCCCTTGTGGCTTTCGGCCCAGATGGGTTTACATCGCTGGTGGTGTGAGTAGCTTGAGAGGCTGTACCAGAAGGAGGCTCACTTTCTCCCTGGTGCTCACCCCTCCCATCTCTCTCTGGCGGTTGTCTCGCAGCTTTCGCCATACGGGCCTCAAGTGCTGCCCAGAACAGTGTGAAGGCTTCATCCAGCCACCGCATGAGTCGGTCCATTGGGTTTGGAGCATCCCATTGTGTCTGTTCTGTTATGCCTGCTTGTGCGCCCAGTGCGTCCTTCATTTTAGAGTGCTCGAACTGCGACAATGAGCGGGAACCAGTGTAGGCAAGCAACTCGGGGGCGTCTGTTGTTGTGGGCACCGGGATAACCCTCACTGGCGTGGGGGAGGAGGAACAATGTGTCTAGGTGCCGAGAGTCCAGCTCCAGGTTGGTCAGAGACCGCGAGGTCGGCCGCCCCTTAAAGTTCGACCGCTAGGTAGGCCACAGTCTCGTTGGCAGAGCTTCCACCGCAGGGGAACCGGTGTGTTAGTGGGCAATGGTACTCCCATACATAGTAGGGTATTTCAGGTATATAAAACATGGATTTGGGGTCCATAAGATAAGTTTAGAGCTTGATGCTACACGGACCTCCAACTGTGTGTGATCGCTCAGCTGTTTTTGTATCAATTTAATTGATTAGTTCTGGAAGAATGTTTCACCATAATTGTTGGTTAATGAGGAGGTGCTAAACATGTATGATAAATTTGTCACATTTTGATATTTTGTGGCTCCGTGTTACTGCCCGTGATCTATTAAATAAATAGGTATTGCAAGTACATACCTTCCTCCCCATATCCCTGAATCAAGCTGAATTCTTGCCCATAGTAATGTTAGCCAATCTATACCAACATTTTCTGTGATCAAAGTACTTCTGTAAGATCCACTGAGCTAAGCCTCACCATGCATGCCAGCTTTTTGGCTGAATGTGTCAGCTGGCAGGAAACTCAGGCATCAGGGAAGGTGGCGACATGGACCTATGAGAAGGTGTTAAGAGGTAGAACTAGGTGAATGTTTAAATGGACTGTTTATCTCTCAACATTGGGAGCCACAAGAATGACATGTCACTTCCTGGTTTGGTGAAAGCTCACTGCAAGTGCACAAACTAAAAATATGATTAATCTTTTAACTTTTTATTGTTTTAGTATAGTATTGTTACATATTAAGCACTTGCCGTTCTGGTACAACTATGACAGGAGTATGGAAGAAATTGTACATTAAGATTAGATTTAGATTTTTTGCCCATTTGCACCCTCCAACTTTTTTGTTATGCCACATTGTTCTTACATTGTTCTTACAATCAAATTCTGAAAACTATTTTGATTGTTGAAAAACAATGGGTCACCTGCAACCTGGTGTGGCGTTTTAACTGGTCTTGACTTACCAAGGTGTAGTATTTGACATTGACGTTTATATAATCAAATCTAAACAGATCTGTCAAATTTTGTTATTCAATATTTTAAGACATTATCTTTCTTTTCCATGCATCACATGCCCAATGGGTGGCATCAATTCGGTCTAATAAAATATACATGGACAAAATCTGATCTATCTCTCATTTGTTGAGTTTGGACATGCAAGCATAAATAATTCTGGATAATTTAGGACAAATCTGCATTATTCCTACTTGAGAGTTGCATTTAGTTTTTTTTCTGTAAAATCTATATATAACCTTACCAAAGTTGTGACAATAGCTTGAGACAATCCAGGGGCATGCAGAGGCAAAAATGAGGACTTTTATCAAATTCCGAAATGGACTAAAACGCTTCTAATTGCAGGTGGTCCGTTCCAATTCTGAATATAGTCAAAATTTTTATAAACTGTCTTAAAGGGACACTATAGTCACCAGAACCACTACAACTTAATGCTGTAGCAAATGTGTCTCTAGGCCAAAGAGAAGCCTCTGATTGGAGTATACCCCAGCAGAAGTCGGAGCTGGAGAACAAAGGGAGAGCTTGTAAAGGGTGCAGACCTGCAATGTGTTTTAGATCTACCCTGAAAGAAAGAAAAAATGCAGAATTAAATGCATGAATACTTTAAAAACTTTAATCATATTTTTAGTTTGTGCACTTCCAGTATATCTACTAAATCCCCTAATGAAGTGTTTCTTTAAACTGTTTAAATGTTGAATTACTCAAGGTTTTATGTTTTTTTTTCTACATGGCTGTAAAGTTTGTGATTTTACACCTTTAATGCTTTTGCACTCCCTCCTTATGCATAATCAGCCTTCTGACATCACTTATACTCAATTATGTGACTGAAGGCTTTCTCACATTTGAATTATTGTGGTCTGTCTAAAAAAATAAATGTTGTCAGATAACTGGTTGTCAGCTTTGGGCTCTGTGAACGATACCAAAGGCAGTCTGTGATTTATGACACCGTCATCTGGGATACACTGTATCCTGTATTCTTATTGAGTATTTTAAAGGAGTCATTGAGATGAAGTCGCCTGGGTGTAGTGTGTGTTTTGTTGTTGTTGTTTTTTAGAAAATACAGTGTTTACATTGCATTGTTAGATCCTCCTCAAATTGACAGCCACTAGAGATGAACCCTGCAGCAGCAGCCGAGTAAAACTTGGTGACCTGACTGCTTGCTGCACATGTCCTCTAGGAGGAGCATTGGATTGAACCACATTGGAGAAGGCCATGCCTCCTCTAACACTGCGGAAGGAGGAGAGGTAAGAATCATCGATGGAAAAATATGAGTAAAACATTTTATTCAGATTTATGCTGAACTAGGGTCGAGTTCAGCATAAATATGAATGTAGCATTTTGTTTTTCTATCCTTATTAATGGCTTTACATGGAGCTAGTGGTATTGTTTCTACATTTGGTTTGTCTATCCTTAAGGTTTGCTAGTGGGGTGGAGTTTTACAAAAAGGCAGCTTAGCGGGATTGTTTAAATCATGGGTCGTCAACCTGGTCCCTACCGCCCACGAGTAGGCGTTTCAGGATTCTAGGTGGGCGGTAGGGATTTTCTAATTTTGAGAGATTGGGCGGGCGGGTGCGAGCCGGCGGTACCCCTGCGACCGGGTACCGCCATCATCACTTGCAGCCTGGCCCGCGCGGCAATCCACCGTGGCCGCATATGGAGGGGTCCATCGGGTGGCCCATGCTGTGTTTTTTTCTTTTTGTGATTTATTCTGCCTGTGCCCAAACACTTGGGGATATGTTGGACTATTGGTTATTTTAAGAAAAAACATTTTAGGTCCCTATCAAGTTTAGTAATTTGTTAAATTTCCTAAGTGTTAAATGGTCACGTTTATGTTTTAACTCCTTTTCGGCAACATTGTGATAGCACAAACTAAAGAGTTTAGCCTAAGGTTTTTCACCAATCATATCATGGTAAATGTTATGTTGAAAATCTTTAAAATAATGCAATCTCTTCATGTCTCCTAAAAACTATGTTTCAGGTTTGTTGCGATACAGATAGTAACTAATATAATACAATGAAATACACACTTTTTATTAATCGCATTAAATGTCTCTTTTTGTTTCAGGGATACAGCAGGCCAGGAAAGATTTCACACTTTGAGTGTCCGTTATTTTCGTGGGGCTCATGGTATTGTTCTTGTTTATGACATCACAAATACACTCTCATTTGAAAACATAGCCATGTGGATGAAAGACATTAAATCAGTAAGCATCATATTTATGAAAACTGCAATAATTACAGTTGCAGGGTTAAGGGTAGTGGGAGTTGGCACCCAGACCACTCCAATGGGCAGAAGTGGTCTGGGTGCCTGGAGTGTCCCTTTAATATTTTGGAAAAATTATATAAAAATTGTATCCAAAAACATTACATCATTTGAAAACCTTATCCAAAATTATTAAATTGGGGCCCTAATTTGTGTATTTTCCAATTTACAATCAAATACATTTATTTAAGTACAAGCCTCACCTTACCACTTTAGGCTCCCTTTGCAAAACTTAGGAATGACCCTCACCCACCATTATTTATTATCATAATTTGGTGAAAGCCAAAAAAGACACACCGTATTGGTTAAAATAATCTGTGATGTATGGGTGGTTATTTGTTGTGGTGTATGGGTGGTTATTTGTTGTGGTGGATGGGTGGTTATTTGTTGTGGTGGATGGGTGTTTATTTGTTGTGGTGTATGGGTCATTATTTGTTGTGGTGTATGAGTGTTTATTTGTTGTGGTGCATGGGTCATTATTTGTTGTGGTGTATGAGTGGTTATTTGTTGTGGTGTATGGGTGGTTATTTGTTGTGGTGGATGGGTGGTTATTTGTTGTGGTGTATGGGTGTTTATTTGTTGTGGTGTATGGGTCATTATTTGTTGTGGTGTATGAGTGGTTATTTGTTGTGATATATGGGTGGTTATTTGTTATGGTGTATGAGTGGTTATGTGTTGTGGTGTATGGGTAGTTATTTGTTGTGGTGTTTGGGTGGTTATTTGTTGTGGCAGTTTTCCATTTAAAGCAGAACTGTCACCTCCCCTTGAAAAATTACTTTTTGACAAAGATAGAATTTACAGTCAAGAGATATACTGAGACAAAGGACTACTTTCTATGTATATTTCCTACGCTTAGCACTTCTAGACACTGGTCATAGTTACCGTCTTCTAGAAGTGTCAATTCCCACAGCCATCACCAATGATTGCTGCAAGGAATTGCCTTTATCTATGGAGGATCCCGCAGTCTCGCAGGATCCTCCATAGACCTCAATGCTGTACTGTCGTTCATGCAGTGACGTTGGTTCCTGGCGCTTAAATGCCAGGAGCTGATTAGGATGTGCTGGAGGAAGATGGCTGTGTCCATGAGGGACAAGATTAGGTAAGAACATGCCTTTACTTACCCCCCCCCCGACCACCAGATTACCAGCAGCAAAGTCATCTGTCATCGTTGAAGTTCTATGCAAATTCTGCAAAGTCCCCCAGATAGTGACAGTGCTGCTTTAATAAATATGGTGAGAAATGTTGCCAGTCACGGCAAGGGTGCATAATAGACATGTGCAATTTGTTTTGGTCCGAATGTGAATTCGGACGAATTTCGGGCAATTCGGACATTCGGGTACTTCCGAATGTCTGAATAGCGTAGTGCTGAATTGCCGAGGTCCCGAAGTTCCGAAGCACAGTATTGCCTAAGTACTAATATACTTACCCAGTGGAAGAAGAATGTTAAACTGTATACAAGTTTAAATAAAAAGTATTCAAACACAGGATTCAGCTGTAAGCATTTGCAACACTTACAACAATTAAGTCAAATACATTCATATAAAATGTAAGTTACTTAGCCTGTCAATGGAATGACAGGAATGAATAAGTAGATAACTCCCTAATTCCCACGGTATTAGGGAGCTATCTACTATAAGGCTGAAAGATCTGAATTGGTCTTTCAGACAAATTTACTAATACTAAGTAAAGATTACTTAGTATTAGTAAATTATGCCCCTACTCGCTATACCGCGAGTAGGAGCATGTCTATTAAACAGTGAGCAGCCTGTGGCTGCTCACTGAAAAAAAAAACAAAAACAAAAAAAACCACGTCCCCCCTCCCAAGCCCCCACCCATGCCGTGTGAGTGGGGGCTTCTAACCTGAAGGGGGGGCCTATTGCCCCCCCTGGCCCCCAACCCTGAACGGCGGGTGGGGGCCCTAAAGTAAAATAATGGGGAGACATATTGTCCTCCCCCGGCCCCCACCCATGAGCTGCGGGTGGGGGCCCTAAAGTAAAATAATGGGGGGGGACCTATTGTCCTCCCCCCCGGCCCCCACCCGTAAGTGGCGGGTGGGAGCCCTAAATCAGAATAAAGGGGGGACCTAATGTCCTTCCCCTGGCCTCCACCCCTGAGTGGTGGGTGGGGGCCCTAAATACCAATGAGGGGGGGGACCTAATGTCCTCCCCCCTGGCTCCCACCCCTGAGCAGTGGGTGGGGGCCATAAATTAGAATGAGGGGGGCCTTGAGCGGTGGGTGGGGGCCCTAAATTAGAATGAGGGGGGGACCTGTCTTCCCCCCTGGCCCCCACCATTGAGCGGTGGGTGGGGGCCCTAAATTAGAATGGGGGGGACCTAATGGCCTCCCCCTGGCCTCCACCCCTGAGCGGTGGGTGGGGGCCCTAAATACAAATTAGGGGGGACCTAATGTCCTCCCCGTGGCCCCCACCCCTGGGGGCAGGTGGGGGCCCTAAATAAAAACATTTTTACAGGTACTTAGTTAAATGGTCCCCCCTCATTATTTTTAGGGTGAGGGGGGTAGGTAGGGGTTAGTTTTTTGGGGGAGGGGGGTGACTAGATGTTTGGGGACCCCTAGTTACCTGGGGGGAGGGGGGTTCATTTTTCACTTAGGGCCCCCACCCGCCGCTCAGGTGTGGGGCCACGGGGGAGGACATTAGGCCCCCCCATCATTCTAATTTAGGGCCCCCACGCACCACTCAGGGGTGGGGGCCAGGGGAAGGACATTAGGTCCCCCCCTAATTAGTATTTAGGGCCCCCACCCACCGCTCAGGGGTGGGGGCCAGGGGGTAGGACATTAGGTCCCCCCCTCATTCTAATTTAGGGCCTCCACCCTCCGCTCAGGGGTGGGGGCCAGGGGGAGGACATTAGGTCCCTTCTTATTCTAATTTAGGGCCCCAACCTGCCGCTCAGGGGTGGGGGCCGGGGGGGCAATAGGTCCTCCCCTTATTCTAATTTAGAGCCCCCATCCGCCGCTCAGGGGTGGGGGCAGAATGGTCAGATGACAGAATGGGTAATGTAAATTGCATAGAAATGTGAAAAGGGAAAGATGTATCCTGTGATTAATCAAGGGCTCTGCAAGGTGTGAGACTCTACACTTAAAAAGCCTGAATGTCTGGCTTCAGCCATATGACTTGTACTTCTTAATTGATGAGTCAATCTCTTTGATATCTTAATGGCCATTAGCCTTGTACCACTATCATATCCAAAATAATAAAAAAAAAGTTAATATTTACCCACAGAATAATAATTAAGCCTCTTTTCTGTTATATTGGAAATGTGACAAGCGCCATCTTCTAAACAAACCCAAACATGTTTGGCATAACTTAACCATAGGGGAAGGGATTGTGATGTCTACTATATTGGGTCGCAAGTAAGGAGGCGTGTGACATATCTATGGAATGGAAAAATAATGACAAATTCGTAGATGCAATTATTATTTCTGTGGCAGGTACATAAGAGAAGATAGAACCAAATGTTTCCATTTGGATTGATGTGTGTCTGGACACAAGAAGGTGGTCACTTAGTGTCTCTATAGATACCCCTTAACTCCACCTCTGGGTGAGGCATGGTAATCCACAGGGTATTGGTCTCGTCACACACTGTGACTATCTCTAGTGATACTGAAGTGTGCCTTGTACTTGCTTGAGGGGCCAGAATCTAATTCTAAGTGAGTCACCATCTTTCCTACCAGAGACCCCCTGGGGCAAAAGTATTTAATTTGAAGAGCTAAGTAAGTGATTAGGACTTTCTGTTATTTTATCCCTTTTGGTTTTTATCTGTTGTTGGTGTAAATCATTTTGATTGTCAGCTATATTTTTGTATGCACTGTGTAACGGCACCCCCAGGCATAAAAGGGGTTAAAAGCCGTTTATGAGATATTCCCTTCCCAGATATACAGGCAGCTACTAAAGACACCAAGCCGCCGAAAAGGAAACCATATGAATGCCGTAAACAGCCGAATAGGAAAAACCATACGAATAGGTTTACACTCCTAGCAGTCGAACTGGAACAGCATACAATAAATCCCCCCAAGAACGAGACAAGGCTCTGTTTTGAGGGTCAAGCAGGAACAGACAGAGCTGTGGGTTTATTGTTCTTATATAAACATTCTTACACATTAGTACCACCCACAGGGTTTTGGAAAACAACCAATAAACACGTACAATACACTCAGACACTCCCACACAAAATCCTCCCCTCTGCCTGTGATACAATTACCTTACACAATGGGTAATGTAATTATCACAGGCAGAGAAATACATTTCCACATTATTCATAATTTTAAAAGTATGCATCACATTCACATTAAGCACATGGCAGTAAAAAGACAGTAAAATACAATAAAATACACAAGGTTACATTTATTACATAAAATACATACATGCAACATATCCCCAGATAGCCTAGGTCTGAGCGCACATTATTACTGAATGGCGCTCAGACCACACACATACAGTTCAATTGCCATGGAGCCAAAGTCTTTTATTACACGAATAGGCTCCATTGCATAGGTATCCGGGTTAAATTAGTTAATTCAGTAAATCCGAGAATCTACCGAACGCCAGGGCAGAAATACGTGAATAGACCTTTCTGCATAGGAAAATAAAGTATTTAAATGCCGGTCCATAGTCAAAAGGCAGCAGACAGGCAACCAGGCTCCTCCAATGCACGGTGCCGAGATTGGTCTCGTCACACACTGTGACTATTTTTTGCTCATAATAAATATTCCTTTGTTAACTATTTTTTTTATCATATTTGTGTTTATTGTTTTTGTCACGAAAAACAGGGGAACAGAAGTAAAAGGGAGAGGGATAGGGGGTTCCACAATAAAATATACATACATACAGTGATTATACAGTAATCATACACATTGCATGGTAGATTGCGTAATCAACAGCTTTCTCTCGGGGCAGTATGCGTTACAGTCCTGTTTGACGCCTACATTTCTTATTCTGTTGTGCATATCGGTGCATGTCTACAGATAGTACTGTTATGCAATATACATTACATCGTATACATTACATTGTATTTGCAGGGTCGCCTCCTAGGGTATTTACCATAAAGTAACTCTGTTCTGGTGCCTATATATGTTTGACTCGTAACATGTTTATTGCTTGGCCCACATTGGTCAACGTGTGTGGAGTATGGGGGGACTTAGGGTAGGGAGTGAACTCAACTTAACAGAAACTTGTACTGGAACTTGAGCTTGATCTCGAGCTAGGACCATTGAGAAATGCATTGGGAACTACAGTGGCTATGCTGACCTCGGTTTTGTGTCGTTATTTTTATTATTGCTGTCATCATTGTTATCGGGCCTGGCCCGTTATGTAGTGCTCGTCCTTCGGTATGTGAGCCAGTCCTGCCACACCACCTCATGTTGTTGTGCTTTCCCCTTCAGACCCATAGCCATGTTTTCGTATAGACAGACTTTATCTAATCTCTTTGAGATCTCTTCTATCGAGGGGATAGCTTTGTCCTTCCAATGGTATGCTATAGCCATTTTAGTGACTGTGAGAAGGTTTACAATTAATGGGGTGTGGTGCTTCTGATGTAACATTGGCAACATATGTAGTAAGTAACTTTCAGGCGTCAATGGTATGGTAAATAGGGTTAGTTTGTTTACCAGTGTTTGTACACTTAGCCACAGAGGCTGAATGTCTTGGCATTCCCAGAAGACATGGATCAGTGTACCCTGGGCTTTTTCGCACCTCCAGCATAAAGAGGAGACTGTACTGTACATTTTGGCTAATCTATGTGGCACCATGTACCATCTCATTGTGATTTTGCTGTATGCTTCCCACATGGAGATGCTACTAGATGCCTTCTTGGTGTTAGCTATGGCCTTGTGCCATTGTTGTATCGCGAATTCCCTACCGATATCTCTTTCCCATTGAGTCATGTAATGAAGTTTAAGTGGGGTAGCCGCTTCCCAGAGGGCATTGTAGCATAGTGCCAGGGGCTTGATGTGGCGAGCAGTCAACAGGTGTTGTGTGTTGTGAGCTGTAAGCCTCTGTGTGGGCTCTGTGGCTTGTAAGTTGGTCTGTAAGATGTTCTTGACCCTTAAGTATAGGAACAAGTCTCGGGGGGGGGAGGGAGAATTCTGCCTGTAGAGTTGGGAACGGTTTTACTGCGGTCTTGTCAAGAATGTTTTCCACCCTCAGGACACCTTTTGCCAGCCACTTATGGACTTCTAGGTTCGGGGAGTGGATTTGTAGCGCTGTGATAGGGGACAACCTTAACAGTTCCCTTGGGTCTAGTATCTTCGAGGCCCAATTTCTCCAGGCCTGTAGAAGTGTCCTTGTGCATTGTAAGGTCGATTTCTTGGTAAGGGTTGGGGCGCCTACCCACAGAGCTTGGGTTATTCGTGCCGGGTGGATACAGGCGTCCTCAAAGGAGAGCCAGATTGGGGTTGGTGTTTCCTCGGAAGCTCTGAGAAGTCTTAGGCCTTGGGCTAATAGGGAGGCTTGATAATAGAACTGTACATCAGGGAGGCCCAGCCCTCCTCTAGTGAAGTGGAGGCCCAAAGTTTTATTTCTAATTCGTGGGGGTTTCCGTTTCCAGACGTGCGCGTTTATAACAGATTGGAGTCTTTTAAGGAGGCGGACTGGCAGGGATATTGGGATAGTTCTGAACAGGTAGATTATGTGCGGAAGAACCATCATCTTAACCGTGTTGATGCGTCCTAGCCAGGAAATCTCTAGGTCTTCCCATTTTGTTACCTGTGTTACAAGTTTGTGTATCAGGGGAATGTGGTTTTCTTTTATCAGTGTATGTGTTGATTTAGTAAGTTTGATCCCTAGATAGGAGAGTGACTTTTTCCTCCAGTCGAACGTGTATGTGCGCTCAAGTTTTGTCGTAAGGGTGTGTGGTAGTAGTATTGGGAGAGCTTGTGTTTTTGCGGTATTGTTTTTGTAGAAGGATACTGCGCTGTATGTGTCAAGAATTTTTTGCAGCTGTGGTATAGAGTGCTCTGGCTTTGTGAGGTACAGGAGGATATCGTCGGCAAACAGTGCCAGTTTCTGTTCGCCTCGCGGAGTAGCTATGCCCTGGATTCCTCTTGATTGTTTTATATGCCTTATGAGGGGCTCTAGGCAAAGGATAAATATGAGCGGGGAAAGAGGGCAGCCCTGTCGTGTGCCGTTTCGGATGTCTAGTGGGGTCGATAGAAAGCCGGTGCTAAAAATTTTAGCTGAGGGTTCTTGGTACAGAGCTAAAATGCTGGCCAAGAACCCTTGGGGGATGCCCATTCGGGCGAGTGTTAATGTCATATACTTCCAGTTCAGACGATCGAACGCTTTTTCAGCGTCGAGCGCTAAAAGGATTCCCCCTTGCTGTGTGGAGTGGGCCCATTCTATGAGGTTGATGAAGTGTCTAGTATTGTCGCCTACTTGCTTGCCTGGGACAAATCCTGCCTGTTCCTCGGAGATCAGAGTCGGGAACAAGGGTTTAAGTCTGTTTGCAAGCAGTTTAGCATACAGCTTGATATCTGCATTGAGTAAGGAAATAGGCCTTAGGTTCGCGCAGATCGTCGGGGATTTGTTTGGTTTGGGTAGGGTGACTATAAACGCTTCCAGCATTTCCCTAGGGATTTGCCCAGTTTGTTTGATATAATTGAAGAGTTTGGTGATGTGCGGAAGTAGTGTGGTGCCTAGTTTGTGATAGTAGTAGTTGGATAGCCCATCCGGGCCAGGCGATTTGTGTTTAGGTAAGCTGGCTATCGTGTTGGCCACTTCTTCGCAAGTGAACGGGGCTTCTAATAGCTCCTGTTGTGGTCTGGTTATGGATGGGATGTGTGTAGTGTTCAGAAAGCGGGTGATTTCTTCTTCAGACGGTTGGTGAGTTTGGGGGTCCCTGTCAAGCTGGTATAGGGAGGCATAGAAGGAGGCCAATTCCTCCACAATATGGTGTGGGTTGTATAGTTTGTCCCCCGTTTTGGAAAGTATGTACGGTATTTTCGTGTGTAAGTATTGCTTCTTCAGTTTCCTAGCAAGTGCTTTGCCTGCCTTGTTTCCCGTAGTGTAGTGGTATTGTTTTAGGTAGCGCAAATGCTTCTCTGTTGTGGCGATTTCAAGGTTATGTAAGTCAGTTCTGAGTCGTTGTATCTGCTTGTGTGTCGTTTTATGAGGTGAGGTTTTGTGTTGGGACTCTAATGCGGCGAGTTTTGCGAGGATTTCATCCTTCGCTGTGTTGTGTTGTTTTTTCGCCCTGGCTCCCGCCTGTATCAGAGCTCCTCGCATAACTGCCTTGTGTGCTAGCCATTGAATTGTGATGGGCGTGGTGCAGGATTCGTGTAGTGAAAAGAAGTCAGTTAGTTGGGTTAGGATGGATGAGTAGGTGTTGGGGCGGTCCAGAAGAGCCTCATTGAGGCGCCAGGATCCTGTGCCACGGGCCGGGTACGGAACCCGAAGGGTCACCGTGAGCGGCGCGTGGTCGGACCATGTGATAGGGCCTATTGCGACTGCCATGATGTGTGTCAGTGTGGTTTTATCCGTGATGCATAGATCTATCCTGGAGTGTGTCATGTGCACCGGGGAGTAATATGTGTAATCTTTGGTTCTCGGATAGAGACAGCGCCATGAGTCGTATAGGTCTTGTGTAAATAGTAGTCGACTTAGGTGTCGCCCCAGTGTAAGTGATGCCCCTTTTGGACCTCTGTTCTGTGTGCGTTGAATGTCTAGGTGGGGATCCGGAGTACAATTGAAGTCTCCACATATAATGACATGTCCTTTCTTATGTTTCGCTACCTGTTTTAATGCTTTTGTGAGAAATGCTGTTTGGTTCTCGTTGGGGGCGTATAGTGAAGCAATCGTTATTAGTATGCCATTTAGTGTGCCAACTAAAATAAGTAGCCGGCCGTCTCGTCCTGTATGTTGGTGGTTTGGTGTGAACGCCCAGTCGTCGTGAAAGTATATGGAAACCCCTTTTGATTTTGTTGGGGAGTGTGCATGATATGCTTGGGAATAGTGCCGGACTACAAATCTTGGGGGGTTGCGAGTGCAGAAGTGTGTCTCTTGCAGACAGGCTATGGCCGCCCCAGAGGTTTGGATGTCGCGTGCCGCCAACCTCCTTTTATGGGGGCTATTAAGGCCTTTCACGTTCAGGGAGAAAAGGGTCATAGTATTAGGTGTCCCCATGGCTAGATTTGTGTGTGTCCACTGTATTGGAGGTCCCTAGTGGGATTCGCTTTGACATTAGGGGTGAATAGGTGTCCTGCAGTAGTGTGCTAGTGCTCTGGGGTCTCCCTCCCCTCTCTAACTCTGCTCCCTCCTGACGGGTAGTGTGGTCCTGTGGAGCATAGTTCAGTACAGTGATTCCAGATAACATAATAAACATATACATAAACATAGAAAACAAATAAAGTATATACATAATTTCCCTACTAGATAGGGATGTCAGTGTGATTGGGGCGACCTCCCTGCGAAATGCTTGGGAGGCAAGCCCAACAGGGGGATTAAAGATAACCTACGTGGTTCGGCCAGAACCGGGACCCCTTAAGTGTGCGATCGTACATAGCTTACATTATACAGACAGCCTTGTATACGTTACTGTTATATGAGAGCATCCCGCCCTCTCAATTAAGTAGTTATGTGTACTTTTTTTTTGTTTGTTTTATTTATTTATTTATTTTTTTTATTTTTTTTTTTTCTGTTTTGTTTTTGTGTGCCCTTTGTGAGCCCTCCCTCCCATCAGCTGTGAGACTCACTAAACATAAGTGCCTTGAAACAATTATGAATTGGAGCCATATACATTACGCAGCGTTATGGTCTTCTTCAGCGTCCATTTTCTTTCCGTCTTGGCAGGCGGTCAGTTTCGTGGAGGGGCAGAGGGTTGTGTGAGGAGAGTTCATTTGTCTCTTCTTGGCGATCCCGCCATGTGCCATTCGGTTGTGATTTTCCTTTGCGGTTTCGGAGCTTGCGCTTGCTGGTCCGGCGACTGGAAAAGTCCCCATTCTCTCAGGAGGCGCATTCCGTCCTCTGGTTCCTCGACAACGTGGTTTTTGTTGTTCCTCCAAATGATAATTTTAGTGGGATAGCCCCAGCGGTATGAGACATCGTGGTTACGGAGAGTTTTTGTGACCGAGATGAATTCCTTCCGACGGCTCATTGTGAGAGCGGATAGGTCTGCGTACAGTTGCACCCCCTGGAACGGTTCAGGTAGCGATGGGAGTTTGCGCGCGGCATTCAGCAGTGAATCTTTTGCTGTGTAATAGTGGAACCTGACCACTACATCGCGTGGGGTGTCTGCTGTGAAGCGTTGTGGTCTAGGCAGTCGGTGTGCTCGGTCCAGCTGCCACTCCGTAGTGACCCTCTCTGGCAGCACGGCTTGGCATAAGCCTTTAATGTAGTCGGGCAGAGCCTCATGTGTGACGTTGTCAGGGATGCCTCTAAACCTGACATTATTGCGCCTAGAGCGATCCTCTATGTCCGCCATTTTCCTCTTTAGCTGCTTGTGTTCCTCACTGAGAGCTTGTAATTTAGCCTCCATGTCAGTGTGAGCTGAACATATTTCGTCTGTGCGGACTTCCAGTCTGTCTGTTCTGTCTCCTAGCTCAGACAAGTCCTGTTTAAAATCTGTCACCATTGTCTGGAAGTCTGCATGCAAGGTAGCCCTGAGCTCTTGTAGCATGGTATAGAGACTTCTCTCACTCACCGGGTTGTCTGTGTAGCGACCTGTGGGGTCTCCTGTGTCTGGCTGATCTTCAGCACTGGAGGCCGTCGCCATGCTGCCGTCGCCATCTTGGCTGGAGCGGAGGCGGTCTTTTTTAGCGGACCTGATCGGGTCCGTAATTTTCAGCTGCTTGGAGGGCGCCATGTGATCTCCCGTTGCTCGATGGGGTGCTGCAGGGCCGGGATTCGTGAGTCAGTCACGGCTGTCTATGCTGTTGGGGTCCGTCGGCCTGGGAGCTCTCACTCCATGCGCCTTTCCCGGTCGGCCGTTAGCCACGCCCCCCCCTTTGTTAACTATTAACTTCTGCCTTTGTCTGGTAAAGAATCACGTTACCTGAAGAAACTAGTTAGTATTTTGCAATTACATAGCTATTGTGCTAAGTTACATCTGGTTGGTTTTTGTCACTGATTTACCAGGGGTACCAAGGCACCCCATTTATAAATTGTCTTGGGGGTGGCAGCATTAAAATAGTAATAGTTATATTATTATGTTTAAGTGTGGGTGGTGTAAAAAGGGGGATATTGTCATTATTTCCGGTCTAGTGCAGACAAATAGTGAACTTCACCACCCCTTCACCACCACAACTATGTCACGCACACTCTTGAAGTGTGTTCGTGACAATACCCTCTAAAGAATTTTCCAGAACTGTCTTATGGGGCAAATTATCTATTTTCTGTATATGAGAATATGTCTGAGGGAACGGGGCAGGGCATATTAGGAGGTCATATTTAATGTGGTGTACCTCGGTAATGCTGAAAGGAAATACAGTGACTTTTCTTTTATATCATTCATCTTATGCTGGTAAATTCTATTTCTCTTTGTAGTATGGTTATCTGTAAATTTAACGAGTATCTGCTTTGAATGCTTTACTTATCAGATTAATTTAGGTGCTTACTGTCTCGTTTGCAATTTGCTTTTGTGATATAGAAAGCTGGCGAAGATGTAGAGGTAGTTCTCTTGGGAAATAAGTGTGACAAGGAAGACGAACGCAAGGTTTCAAAAGAAAGAGGAGAAAAGGTAAGCATTGATTATCTCAGCATCTCAGAGTATTTGAGTTAGCTGGGTACACTGCATATGTAAAGCATCCGACCATGCAGCTGGAACATTAGGAACTAATGTTGCTAAAAATGTAATTCTCATTTCACAATATTGATTGTACTTTTTTTTTGTATTATACAGTAGGTTTGAAAAATGTCTTTTAACTCAGATATAAAAGTTTTTATTCATTTTCTCAAACTTTAGAAACTGATTTTTCAATGAAATAGAAAACTTTTTTTTTCTGCCAATCCTGCCCTATCCTGAAAATCCTCTAAATGTCATAGATATAATGCATTTTGGAATATGTTTGTCAATTTATTAATACACAGTGTAACTGAACAAACACCTGTGTATTGTTTATTCAATACTAATAACATCACATTGGCGATGCTGTACTTAGGGGCCTTGTGTGTGTAAGGGGTTCAGTGTGTGTGAGTGGTGCAGTGTGTGATGGGTGATGTGTGTGAGGGGTGCTGTGTGTGTGTGTGTGAGGGGTGCTGTGTGTGTGTAGGGACCTATTTATATTGCTCTCCATCTAGCAACATTCAAAGTTCATAGTTACACCATATATCTTACTTTACCTTTCCCTTCTGAACCCACCCTATTAAAAGGGCACCATCACATATCTGAAAATTTCACCATTTAATAAAAAATATGCCTTTAAGTTGTAATAACTATTTTTTGCTATTTCATGAGTCTGCTTTCTCTTAAATATTAATTAAAGATATAGCTGATGACCTCACAATTCAGTTTAGTCCAGGCATAGCCAAGGCACACATTGCAAATTAAAAGGATTAAAAAAAAGCATTGTTTAATTTCTCCTTCTCTGTATGCATTCTTTATGTGGACTGCCAGGTGTAAAAAGAGTTTTCAGACCTCAAATACATTTTTAGGAAATATATGGGATGAGTAAATATAATATTAAACATAAATCGATTGGAAACCCGATGGGTTTTTACCCAGTTGGAAAGAGCATTACTCCACCTGTTCAGGTGAGTGGTCCTCCATAAAATCAAGGAGATTAACCTGATGGATGAGCTGAGACTATTCCGATCATATCAAAAGGTGTGGGCCTCTAGGACTAGGAGTGTGTTTTACAACACCCATCGAATATAATCTGTGCATACTGATCCATTTAGGGTGCAATTTTGGGGGGTTTGAACAGTCCCCAACCTTTTGTCAGGAATAGAGTTACCCTAACATGCAAACCTAAAGGTAACAGTAAAGGTACATGTACCGGTCCTTAGAGTAGCCGTGTTAGTCCCTGAGACAGAGAATAAACGAGAGACATGCAGAGGTCAAGATTACAGATATACACAGAATCGATAGCCAGATCAAGATCAAGATAACCGAGAGCAAGAATAGTCAGACAAGCTAACGTCAGAAAACATGAAATCCAAAACACTGTATAAACACACTCTTTTTAGGTAACAAAAACCATGACAGGGCAATTAAATGAGGACAACCAGGAAGTATATATACTCTATACTGGGTAGTGATTGGTCACAGAGGACCATGATGTCACAATCATGTACACATTATCAAAAAGCGACACATGGGCTGACACTATAAAAGAAGACTAATGTGAGGGGTCCACATTATATATGATGTCATAATAAGGCACCAGGAAGTTAGGGATAAGTATGTGTGCATCAGAACCCATAAAATACATCATTTCTGTGATTGCATGGTGCCGCAAGGGATAGGTATTCTGACACCTTTATTATTTCCCCTTTCATCTTTTAGTTTTATTTTCATGTCTGCTTAAACTGAGTTTTGAAGATTGAGCATCCAATGTCTAGTTAACATGATCCTTGCATAGTGTCATGAGGTAACACTTCTGGGTTCGGCACATCGCTGGGCGGAGCCGGACCCCGCCTCCCTCTGACACAGCTCTGACGGTATTTAGGGAGACTGGGTCAGAGAGAGGGTGCTTGGTGATTGTGTGTGAGCTAATGTGTGAGCTGCCTCCGCGAGACCGCGGGCTCCAAAGGCTCAGCTACTGGGAGCTGACACAGCTCTGACGGTATTTAGGGAGACTGGGTCAGAGAGAGGGTGCTTGGTGATTGTGTGTGAGCTAATGTGTGAGCTGCCTCCGCGAGACCGCGGGCTCCAAAGGCTCAGCTACTGGGAGCTACTTCCGCCACTTACCTTTCCACAGGCTCTGGCAATGTGGGTCCTACTTCCGAATATGCACGCCAGCTCCTGGGACACGCCGGCTCTACAAACTCTGAAGTCGTCCTAGCCTTCTGGACTAAGACAAGTATGCTTCATGTCATAGAGGATTACTGGAGAATGGAAACTCACTTACTTTACAAGTGGATCACATCCCTGAACTATTGGAGGACTACTCATATTAACCTTAAGTATATCTTTCAGCTATTTGTCTACAATATCATTTAATGAACTAATGCTTGCTTACTCAAATCTTCATTGCTTCAAGCTACTAATTATATGGAGGACAACTCCCATCATGCTTATTCACTTTGCAAATACACTCAGTGCTTCACGCTACTAATTATATGGAGGACAACTCCCATCATGCTTATTAACTATGAACTGTTCTTGCTTTGCAAATATTCTCAGCTACTTGCTTAATGTTTCTATTGAAGATTATTCTCATGAACCAAAGAATGTTACTTAATGCATCTCTGAAGAAATACTTATTAATGAACTTTGTGTTGTTGATTACTTGCACTTCTTCTTATTGGATTATTGCCTAAATGCAATTCATTTAAGTTTAACACTTATTAAAACTTCATTTGAATCAAGTTTCCAGCGATTCCCTCTTTTCTTAAAGCTACAGTATTGATACTTTAAAATTTCTCTGTATCTTCGCTAATGTAATTAGGGAGGTTTACAAGCTGCAGTTGAGTTCCAAGCCAAATCACCCAAGTAGCCTAACACATAGTTGCCAACTGTCCTGGAGTCTGTCCCGGGCAATTTACTCTTCCGAGACAGTCTTGGCAACATGCAGAGCCATGTGCTTTTATTATTTTCGATTGGATTGTAACAGCCTGTTACAGTCCGAGGGAATTCAGGACAGAGGTGCACACTGCTGGGAGAAGTTGGAGAGAGATGCTGGGGGCTATAGACAGGTGCTGGGGGCTGCTGGTGGCCAGAGGGAGCACTGACAGTCTCCCTTCTGATTTACCAGCAGCTTCCCTGGCACACAGGCTCTTGCTCTGCTCCCCACAACGCAAACTCCACCCACACATGCAAGCCTCACCTCCAGCCCGAAGCCCCGCCCTCACTGTTAAGCAGCAGACCTTGCTGCAGTTGGAAGAGGACAGAAAATGGCTGACCTCTCAGCAACAGCCTCCAGTTAGTGCAAGGTAAGCCTAATATACTCAGCCTTGTGTGTGTGTGTGTGTGTGTGTGCCTGCTAGTGAGGAAGCTTGTTTGTGTGTCAGTGAGCTTGTCTGTAGTGAGCTTGTGTGTGTCAGTAAGCTTGTTTGTAGTAAGCTTGTGTGTGTGTTTGTCAGTGTCCATGCCGACAAAGGAGACCTGTTTTCTTGCTGTGGGTCCTCTTGGACCGGTGAGGAGATCAACGATCTCCCTCACCGGACCAAAGGCCCTTCGTTAGTGACAGGGAGGGTTGGAGGACCTGGGAGGCAGAGTGCTCCTCCCGAGAGCATGCCGTGCGGAGTGTTGATGCGTGTTACCATGGCAATGCTCTGACACAGCATTCTGCACATGGGAGGAGTTAAAACAGCCTGCAGCCAGAGGAGCTGCAGGCTATAGACAACTCACTACCACTGGACCACCATGGCACAGCACCCCTCACACACACACAGCACCCCTGACACAAAGCACCCCTCACACACACACAGCACCTCTGACACACATCCACAGCACCCCTCACACACGGCACCCTCACACAGCACCTCTGACACACAAACAGCACCCATGACACAAAGCACCCCTCACACATACACAGCACCCCTCAAACATACACAGCACCCATCACACACACACACAGCACCCCTCACACACACACCACCCCTGACACAAAGCACCCCTCACACACACAGCACCCTTGACACACAGCACCACTACACACACACTCAGCACCCCTCACACACACTCAGCACCCCTCACACACACACATAGCACCCGTCACACACACTGCACCCCTCACACACAACATCCCTACACACACAGCACTCTTACATACAAAAACATACACTACACCCCTCACTGCAGTCTGTGTGTATTCAGTAGTCTGAGTGTATTCAGCACTCTCTGTGTGTGTATTCAGCAGTCTGTATGTATTTAGCAGTCTGTGTGTGTGTGTGTGTATAAAGCAGCCTGTGTGTATTCAGCAGTCTGCGCGCATTCAGCAGTCTCTCTGTGTGTGTTCAGCAGTGTGTGTGTGTTTAGCAGTCTGTGTGTGTGTGTGTGTGTATTCAGCAGTCTGTGTGCTTTCAGCAGTGTGTGTGTTCAGTAGTGTGTGCGTGTATTCAGCAGTCTGTGTGTGTATTTAGCATTCTGTGTGTATTTGGCAACCTACGTGCATTCAGCAGTACAGGGAGTGCAGAATTATTAGGCAAATGAGTATTTTGACCACATCATCCTCTTTATGCATGTTGTCTTACTCCAAGCTGTATAGGCTCGAAAGCCTACTACCAATTAAGCATATTAGGTGATGTGCATCTCTGTAATGAGAAGGGGTGTGGTCTAATGACATCAACACCCTATATCAGGTGTGCATAATTATTAGGCAACTTCCTTTCCTTTGGCAAAATGGGTCAAAAGAAGGACTTGACAGGCTCAGAAAAGTCAAAAATAGTGAGATATCTTGCAGAGGGATGCAGCACTCTTAAAATTGCAAAGCTTCTGAAGCGTGATCATCGAACAATCAAGCGTTTCATTCAAAATAGTCAACAGGGTCGCAAGAAGCGTGTGGAAAAACCAAGGCGCAAAATAACTGCCCATGAACTGAGAAAAGTCAAGCGTGCAGCTGCCACGATGCCACTTGCCACCAGTTTGGCCATATTTCAGAGCTGCAACATCACTGGAGTGCCCAAAAGCACAAGGTGTGCAATACTCAGAGACATGGCCAAGGTAAGAAAGGCTGAAAGACGACCACCACTGAACAAGACACACAAGCTGAAACGTCAAGACTGGGCCAAGAAATATCTCAAGACTGATTTTTCTAAGGTTTTATGGACTGATGAAATGAGAGTGAGTCTTGATGGGCCAGATGGATGGGCCCGTGGCTGGATTGGTAAAGGGCAGAGAGCTCCAGTCCGACTCAGACGCCAGCAAGGTGGAGGTGGAGTACTGGTTTGGGCTGGTATCATCAAAGATGAGCTTGTGGGGCCTTTTCGGGTTGAGGATGGAGTCAAGCTCAACTCCCAGTCCTACTGCCAGTTCCTGGAAGACACCTTCTTCAAGCAGTGGTACAGGAAGAAGTCTGCATCCTTCAAGAAAAACATGATTTTCATGCAGGACAATGCTCCATCACACGCGTCCAAGTACTCCACAGCGTGGCTGGCAAGAAAGGTATAAAAGAAGAAAATCTAATGACATGGCCTCCTTGTTCACCTGATCTGAACCCCATTGAGAACCTGTGGTCCATCATCAAATGTGAGATTTACAAGGAGGGAAAACAGTACACCTCTCTGAACAGTGTCTGGGAGGCTGTGGTTGCTGCTGCACGCAATGTTGATGGTGAACAGATCAAAACACTGACAGAATCCATGGATGGCAGGCTTTTGAGTGTCCTTGCAAAGAAAGGTGGCTATATTGGTCACTGATTTGTTTGTTTTGTTTTTGAATGTCAGAAATGTATATTTGTGAATGTTGAGATGTTATATTGGTTTCACTGGTAATAATAAATAATTGAAATGGGTATATATTTGTTTTTGTTAAGTTGCCTAATAATTATGCACAGTAATAGTCACCTGCACACACAGATATCCCCCTAACATAGCTATAACTAAAAACAAACTAAAAACTACTTCCAAAAATATTCAGCTTTGATATTAATGAGTTTTTTGGGTTCATTGAGAACATGGTTGTTGCTCAATAATAAAATTAATCCTCAAAAATACAACTTGCCTAATAATTCTGCACTCCCTGTATGTTTATGTATTCAGCATTCTGTGTGTATTCAGCAGTCTCTGTGTGTGTTTTCTGTGTGTGTACTCAATGTACTGTGTGTGTGTACTCAGCAGTCTGTTAGTGTGTACTCAGCAGTCTCTGTATGTGTATTCAGCAGTCTCTGTGTGGGTATTTGGCAGTCTCTGTGTATGTATTCAGCCGTCTCTGTGTGTGTATTCAGCAGTCTGTGTGTGTGTATTCGGCCCTTCTGGGATGACAGTCATGCAGACCAATTTGATGCAGTGTGCGGCATATGGTCTGAGCATTGACAGGCTGACCCCCCACCCCTTCAACCTGTGCATCAATGCCCACTCATACGTCTATTTCCCAAAGACAACCTCTGGATATGACGCTGAGCATGTGCACTCAACTTCTTTGGTCGACCATGGTGAGGCCTGTCCTGTGAAACCACTGTATGGTCTTTCCCAGCGTGCTGCAGCTCAGTTTCAGGGTCTTGGCAATCTTCTTATAGCCTAGGCCATCTTTATGTAGATCAACAAATCTTTTTTTCAGATCCTCAGAGAGTTGAACTTCCAGTGACCAGTATGAGAGAGTGTGAGAGCGATAACACCAAATTTAACACACCTGCTCCCCATTCACACCTGAGACCTTGTAACACTAACAAGTCACATGACATCGGGGAGTGAAT